AAAAGGGAAAAAGTCTCCTTTTCTAAAAGGAAAAAAAATACTCTACTTATTTTGAGCCAAGTTAATATTCAATAGGGCACTGGCCACCATCTTGGCCTCTACATCCCTCAACGGAACCACTTCGGGATATCCTGTCGCATAATCGACAGCTGTAAGGACATATTGATGTCCACTACGAGTGACCTATGACATGGGACCCATGACATCTACTCCCACTTTGCCAAATGGGGTGACCACTACTGGGATAGTTTGTAATAACCCCTTGGTCTTTTCCCTCACTTTCCCAACTAGCTGACACAACAGTAAGCCCTGATATCCTTTCCCATATTGGGCCAGTAGAACCTAGCTTGAATTCGGTCTCTGGTCTTATTGGTACCAAGGTGTCCACTGAAAGGAACATCATGTGCCAACTTTAATATGTTAAGGTGATGAGCCCGAGGGACAACTAGCTGGGTGTGTTGCTCCCACAAAGCTGAATCTTTCTTTCTCCTAGCTACTCTATAGAGTCTGTCATTTATTAATTTAAAAATACATGGGTCCTCTATAGTAGCTATGGGGTTTTCTGGCCCTGCCACCTCCCACAAATCTATGAGAGTCGCATCCTCCCTTTGTTCACTTTGGAAACACTCAGCGTGAGCAGTATCCAACCACAGTGGTATATCTTCTAGAGTTCTCATTTTGTTCTTCAGTAGCAGGCACTGAAGTGTTTCTGAACCACTCTCCTTGTAACTACATTAACACAGTTCAGAGGCAACTCCTGCAACAGTCTTAATCCTTTCATCCTTAATATACCACCTCATTTGGTAAGGAACTAGCCTGTAGAATTGCTTTAGGCTGACTAGCTGTTTTAATTCTTCAAAGGTGTTTACTTTGCTCCCTTCCACCCACCTGTCCAACGCTTTGTCTAAGCGACAGCCTTCTTTCCTGGCTTGCGCTTGATTTCTCTAAATGCTGTGCAGCTCTGTTCCACCATTAACCCAAATCTTAACTTCACTCTTTCCTTAAAGCTATTATAATTGGAAATCTCCTCATCTCACAAATCTGCATAGATTTCACTCAGCACTCCACAGAGTAGTGGACGTAAATGAGCCATCCTTCTTGTCTCAGGAATTTCTAAATCTAGGCAAGTCCTCTCAAAACTAGCAAGGTAGGCCTCTACATTGTCTGCTTTCTTATATTTTGAGAACCATTTCAAATCTGGTGAGGTAAGTTCAACTGTGGCAGTAGGATTGGGGAGCCCTGCCCTCATCTCCACATCTGTCATCTTTAACTGGAACATTTTTCCTCATGGGCCATTTTAGCTTGCTCTCTTTCAATTTCATGTTGTCTCTGCTCTGCCTCAAGCCTAGCCAACAGTATTTTTTATTCAACCGCAACTCTTGCTGTTTCAGTCTCTTTCCTTTCTTGTTCTTTCTCTCTCTCAATCTTTTTCACCTCTAGCTCTGTCCTCAACTTTTCTAGCTCCACAGAGGTTGCTTGTTCCTGATATGGATTCTCTTCATGTTCTTCAGCATTCCCTGTCTCTGGTGCTCTCCCTTCACCAATTATCTTTTATTTCTTTGGCGGTGCCATGATTGTGAAGTAATTTGTTGGATTTTATCTCACAAAAATTAGTACAAGTCTGTTCTCTAGGGCATTGGATCTTGTTGTTACACATATCCCAATGCTCTGGTGGGGAAAGACCAAGAAGGAAGGTGGAGTTAAAAGTCGAACAAGAGCAGGAAGTGGAACTGGGTAGCGGCAGGGGTGGAAAAGAGGTGGAACTTGGAGGAACATGTGGAGGGGTGAAGAATTATTAATGTAAAATGTGTGACCAAGAGAAATGTATATATAAGGGTGCCCATCTTGGAAATTGGTGTATTAGTGACTTTCTACTTCCTTAATGTAGTTGGTTCTATTGAGTAATACCACCGCTTCTCCCTTATCTGCTGGTTTCCAGATATATTGAGGCATATTTGCTAGTCTTTTGATGGTATTTAATTATGACAATGACATATTAGGAAAGGTTTTGGCCTTAGATGTTGTAAGGCTACTAATATCTCGTTCCACTACTTTTTCAAATGTTTTTATCAAAATATTATTGGTATTGGGACAGAATTTACTTTTAGGTTTAAACAAAATTTCAGAATTAGAGTCCATCTTATTACCAAAATAGTGTTTTAATCTAATGCATTTGAATAACTTAAATATTTCAACCCTGGTGTGGAAAGGATTAAATCTAGGGGTGGGAACAACAACAAAGTCCCTTGTTGATTATCTTCTCCTCTTGTAGTGTAAGGGGATAGTTTGAAAGATTCACCACTAGGTGAGTTTGTGGTTTAGATTTGATTCTATAGGACAAGCGATGTGGTGGAATTACCTGTAGATTTCCCTAGGTCTTCTTCAGTGGTGGAATAGGGGTTGAGCAAATCAGTTTCAAAATGAACTCTCCTTTTATATGTGTCAGATAATAAAGGACGAGTAGCCCAATTATACACCTTATTGTCATAATTGGCTCTATCTCTCTTGAACTTTCTAATTTTAAATTCCTTAATTTGAGAGTATAAGTCTTTACATTTCTTATCAATCTCTTGTAGATAATCCAGATTTTGTTCAACCTTATTAATATTCTCTACTAAAATACTAAAATTACCCTAATACTCTTCAGTCAGGGAATTGGCTTTTTGGATAAGTGCCATCAAATCCCTTGAATAGTTTTGCTTTGACATAAGAGCTGTGTTTTGAGTTAAGAGTTAGCACCAGAGGTACTGCTAGTGCAAGGGGGAACGCTAGTGTGAGAGTATAGGGCTTTAGGACTTCAAGAGAGCAGCTTTTGTGCCTCATGCTCTTGTCCACTTTGGGAAATTGCTGTCTACTGTGCTTTTGTCTGCTTTGAGTAACTTTGAGTTAGTTGATTTTGTGTGGTTATTATTCCTGGCATTCTGGCTTCATGAAGAGAGAGGGAGAGAGAGCAAGAAAGGGAGGGAGGTAGGAATGAGTACAGAATGAAGAAAATGATGCTTCTGTATCTTCACTGTGTGCTTCCTTGCTGCAACTTTGTGCTTCTACCATTTTAAAATTGATCTTTCTTTTTTACTCTTCCGTGTGAATGTGTATTTATACATTTTCTTATTTAAAAATACGTAACCAACAAAACTGAGGGGGGTGTTTGACAGACTGGAACTGATTAACTGCATATCAATGGGACAATTTACTTTGAGGTAAGAATGTTTTGAGTTAAGAGCTCATCACGGAACAAATTAAACTCTTAAATCAAGGCATCGTTGTACTGTATAAACTCATGCAGACAGATGACTTGTAGGCTTCTTCACACTCCCTCCTCACCGCATGAGAATGATTGCACTACAAAATCACATTGAAACAAAACAAAAGAAGATAATTTTGTATGCAGAGCAAAATCCAAAAGATACGAGAAAATTATTTCTTCCTAAAATTGAATCTTCAAAAATGGAGTGTGCCTTCCTTTAGATGGCACCTAAGATGTTCATTGATTTACCCCTATTGGTGCAGGCTACTATAGCTGGCGCATCACACTGGTGACTCATGTTCAGCTTGCAGTCTACTATAATTCCGAGATCCCTTTTAAACGTACTGTTGTCACGCCAGGTGTCATCCTATTTCATTTTTTCTGCCTAAGTGTACTATCCCTTTTGAAATTCATTTAGTTCAACCTGGGGTCCCCAGATGTTTTTGGCCTTCAACTCCCAGAAATCCTAACAGCTGGTAAACTGACTGGGATTTTTGGGAGTTGTAAGCCAAAAACATCTGGGGACCCCAGGTTGAGAACCACTGAAGTTGGTTTTTTGCCCAATTCTGATAAGTAAGCCTTCTATTCTGTCATCCAAATCACTGATAAAGATATTGAATAGCATTTGGCCCAGGACAGGCCTCAGTGGCACCCCCTCATCCCTTCTCTCCAAGATGAGGAGGAAAAATCCTTTGTCAACCAATTCTGTACTGGCTGTTAGGAATTGTGGGAGTTGAAGTCCAAAACACCTGGAAGCAGGCCTGTAGCCGGGGGGGGGGGGGGGGGGTTAGGGTTCACCCCCCCCCCGAATTTTTTCAGGTTAAAAAAACCCTGGTTTACTCATGAATTTTAACTGGTTAACCAAATCCCCATGCTATGTCTACGAGATGCAAAAAATTAAGAGTCTCTCCAGAACTGCAAGCACTATCTCAAGCAAATATTGACAATTTATTCACACTGTCTTTACTTGCAGCAATAGCTGATGTAGCGAAGCAACCAAGTTTGGGGGTGAATGCTCTCCTTAAGGAGGCCAGCCTTGGTGGAGGTGGTTGACAGGGGCGGAGCTGCAGGCTATTGAAGGCTGCTCTTCCCTCTGCTGTGCTCTTTGCTTCAGCGTGAGGTAGGAGGCAGGTTTCAACACCCCCCTCCCCAAATTTTCAACCCTCCCTGAAATTTTTTTCTGGCTTCGGCCCTGCCAGGAGGGCCAAAGTTTGCCCATGCATGGCCTAGCCTAAAGCGAACTAGCTGTTCCTTATTGAGGACTGTAGGCTTGAGCACTCTGAGGTTGACTTCCAACAGGTTAACCTCCAGTTTGCTAGCAAAACGTGTCACAAAACGTGAAAGGTTTGGGAAGTTCTGATTTAAAACAACGGTAAAGCAATGTCAATCACGGCCCATGTACACGAAGCATCAAATCACCGGCCCTCTAGCTTCAGGGCGCATCCACTCTGAAGCATTAACGCACGTTGACCCTTCACTTTTGCTGCCAGGACCCAATGCCATGGGACCCTGGAGTTGCAGTTTGTTGAGGCCCACCTACTCTTGGGCAGAGGAGGGCGAAGAGGAGAGCTCCCATCGCTCCGCGGCAGTTCAAAGTGGGGTCAAACGTCAACGGGGAAGTTCGCCGCGCCCGCTTGTTCTTTCCGTCTCCATGGTAACGGGGTGGGTAGGTGGAGAGGAGAGAGAGAGAGAAGCAGAGGCGCGAGGGCGGAAGTGATTCCCCGCGCGCCCCAGGCCCGCCGGGCTGACGTGTCTGAGGAAGCCGGAAGTCAGCGGCGAAGAGGAGGAGGAGGAGGCTGCGCTGTTCTTGCGCGCTGGGGCCGGGGGAGTCCGCGCGCCCTCCCTGCGCCGCCATGGCCCTCGCGCCGCTCTTCCTCGCGCTCTTCCCGCCCTTGGCCGCGGCCTTCTACCTGCCCGGCTTGGCGCCCGTCAACTTCTGTGAGGACCCCAGCAAGTACGACTGCAAGGTCTGTCCCCGCCCGGCACAAGGGAAGGACCAAGGGAAGGAGGGGGGGGGGAGGAGGGCGTGCCTTCGAGGGGACGCTTTGGCACCGCTTGAACGCCCATGGCTCAATGCTATGGGATCCTGGGAGTTGTAGTTTTGCAAGGCCTGGAGCCCTCTCTACCACCGAACGACCTTCCCACGGTTTCGTTGCCTTGAACCCTCTCAGGTTAAAGGGCATTTATTTGACACTTATATACGCCACGTCGTTTGGCCAGTTCCTTTCTCTGAAAAGCAGCACCTGGATTCATTAGCGGTCTCCCCTCTAAGCACTAACCAGGACTGATGTTGCTCAGCGAGAAGAGACCGCACCTGGGGCCTCTGTCCCGCCCTCCTAACAGAAATGCCTCCCCTTCACCTGTCGGGCATCGGAAGGCTGCCTATCAGCTCCCTCACGCCTTCTCTGGAGGAAGGGATGAGCCATAATAATAATAATAATAATAATAATAGACTTTATTTATATCCCGCCACCATCTCTGAGTGGCGTACATGGATCCAGGCCCGAACAACAGTTACAATAAAGAATACCAAGACAAAACCGAAAACACAAACAATAAACAATAACATCATAATTACATAAAACATGTGGATACATAACAAAATAAAAATTATAATAGACACAGGCACAGTGCCAGTGGGCAGGCTACATGTAATGATTAAAAGACAAACTGATTAAAACTAATTAAAACTCAGACGAGATAAAAGAGAGAAGCAGATAATTTGCGGAGGAGGGCTCATTATGGCGGGGGTTGTGGAGTCAAGCTTTCCCACGAGGGGGGAACGTCTACTCCAATGACAGAACTTTGAGGCTAAACAGTCATGTGAAATTGTATACCTACTCATCAAAGGACCCCCTTTTAAGATTTCTCGAGAGGAGATATGATAGCCATGTATAAATATGTGAGAGGAAGTCACAGGGAGGAGGGAGCAAGCTTGTTTTCTGCTTCCTTTGAGACTAGGACGCGGAACAATGGCTTCAAACTACAAGAGAGGAGATTCCATCTGAACATTAGGAAGAACTTCCTGACTGTGAGAGCCGTTCAGCAGTGGAACTCTCTGCCCCGGAGTGTGGTGGAGGCTCCTTCTTTGGAAGCTTTTAAGCAGAGGCTGGATGGCCATTTGTCAGGGGTGATTTTAATGCAATATTCCTGCTTCTTGGCAGGGGGTTGGACTGGATGGCCTATGAGGTCTCTTCCAACTCTTTGATTCTATGATTCTATGATTCTAGGGTTAAAAATCAGCTCCTGACATTTTGGGCTGCTTTTAGCACCATGTTGAAGAGAAATGTGGAGAAATGAGTAAATAAGCACAGGACCTAGTTCTTCTACTTCCTTAATGCTTTGCCTGAAAAGGGCAGGAGGAGTTATTATTATTATTATACTATATTTATACCCCACCCTTCTCACCCCTAGGGGGATCAATTTAAACAGTTAAAATATAAGTACAATGAAACAGTAAAGTTAAAATATAAGTACAATAAAATATAAATACAATAAAACAGCTTAAAAGCGTGCATTCAATCCCATAACAGCTTAAAAGTATACATTCAATAGGTGTTGCTATGGCCGGGCAGCCAGGCTGTTGAAGTACTCTGCGACAAGGCTGTGGGGGCCGTGGAGGCACCCCACCTAGGAGTTGTAAGGCAGCAGGGCCAAAGAGGTGTTGCTATGGCTGGCAGCGGGTAGCTAGGCCGTTGAAATACTCTCACAGCGAGTATTGCTATGGCCCTGCGCAGATGTTGCTATGGCCGGCAGTGGGCAGTGGAATCTGTCCTTCTATATACCTTCAAGTCACCTGTCAACTTATAATAATAATGGTAATGATGATAATGATGAAAGCTTTCGTGGCCGAAATTGCTGGGTTGCTGTGATGGAACCACTGATTGCAGAGGGAAGCTGATGAAGAAACACAACCTACAAAAGATCTACAGAAGAAAATCCAACAAATGCTCTGTTCAGCAAAGGACAAGAGGGATCCTCTCACCTCTGCAGGGGTCTACCGTATACCATGCAGCTGTGGACAAATAGGGACCACCAAACGCAGCAGCGCCCAAACACGAGTCAAGGAACATGAAAGACACTGCAGACTAACTCAACCAGAGAAGTCAGGCATAGCAGAGCACCTAATGAACCAACCTGGACAAGGCATATTATTTGAGAACACAGAAATGCTGGACCACTCTAACAACTACCATGTCAGATTACATAGAAAAGCCATTGAAATCCACAAGCGTGTGGACAGTTTCAACAGAAAGGAAGAAACCACGAGAATCAACAAAATCTGGCTACCAGTATTTAAAAAACTCTAAAATCAGGACAGTAAATAAAGAACAACACTCAGAAGACAGGGGAATTCCAGACAAGAAGCAATCAGGGCCAGTTAACACCTTCCAACAAAGGATTCCCCCAGGCAGGAAGCAGCCAGGCTTTGAAGCTGAAAGGCTATTCAGTGCTAACCAAGCTGGCCAGTTGCAACATTCACGCTTGCCTCAAGAAGACAAGAGTTCTTCCCTGAACATTCCACAGATATATACACCTCACTTGCCTAGTTTCCAACAGACCTCACAGCCTCTGACGATTCCTGCCATAGATGTGGGTGAAACGTCAGGAGAGGATGTTTCTGGAACATGGCCGTACAACCCAGAAAACTCACAGTAACTCAATAATAATAACAATAATAATTTTATTTCTTATCCATCTCTCCTCATGGCTTGAGGCGGGTTACAAAACAATTAAAATATGCTAAGACACTATAAATACACACACTAACTTATGGTGACACCGGGACTTTCATAGGATTTACTTAAGGCAAGGAATATTCAGAGATGTTTTTGGCTGTATCCGCTTCTGAAATAAAGCCTACGGCACTTAGTATTTGTTGGTGAGCTTCCGTCCAAGTCCTAACCAGGATATAGGCACCCATGAGAATAAGGATGGTTCCTTTTCAAGCTTCCACAGAGAGGAATCACTGCAAGGTTTCTTTATTCCAATATTTGCTTCCGGAAATGATTGTTCGAAAGTGTCATAAAATGACGTAATAGTTTCACTGCCCTGTGATAAAGTTCACTATCAGATAGGACAGTCCTGGATTTGTAACCATCACTTCATTAATGTGAGAGGCCAAGTGGAGCCTTTAAAAATAATAATAATACTTTATTTCTTTCCCGCCCTATCTCCCGATAGGGACTCAGGGCAATTCACAACAAACAGCTGCAAACATTCAATGCCATAAAGATTGTTCAGGAACATAAATTACCATAACTCAAAGTAAAACATAGTAAACATCAAAAAATAATGAAACATTACAACAAATTAGGCATGACGTAACTAAAATTATGTTTTAACAAATAAACATTAAAGACAAGACTTAAAATTAGGACTGATAGAGGATTAAACAACAATTTAAAAACCGAAGTAGCAGGCTATTTCCATATTCCGTTGTATTTGTGCCAGATGTTCTATGTGTCATCCTCTATATGCTTGTGAGCTTAAAAAATGTTTTTTGAAAGAGAGCAGGGAGGGGGCCGTTTTGATCTCCTTAGGGAGGGAGTTCCAGAGGCGAGGGGCAACCACAGAGAAGGCCCCCTCTCTCGTTCCCACCAACCATCCTTGAGACGGGAGTGGGACTGAGAGCAGTGCCCCATCTGCCGATTGTAGCACCTGGGCAGGTTTGTATATGGAGATACATTTAAGGATTCCTTGAGGTTGACGTCTTGCCTCTCTGAACAAATCTTGCTTTGAAAACCCTGTAGAGTCACCATAAATCAGAAATTATTTGAAGGTGTACAGTAGCACCAAGACACATATACAAGGGAGCTTATTTAGGTAAGTGAAAATCAGTGTAGGCAAGGAACAACAATAAGACTCCACATCGTGAGCTTTACTGACATCTATTGATTATATATACATTTGTATATTTAATCCGTGGATTATATCGTTGAAACTTCTGTTCTGTTTCCTGTAGCCTCGCAGTTTCTTTGAGCCCAGGTGCTAGAAATTCACTATGGAAATCTTATGTGGCATACATGGGCACATAAGTATTCAGATAACTGTAGTGGTTCTACCATTAAGCATAATTTGAATCTGAAATTTCACTGTGTGTTTAAAGTGGTGTTAGTCTGGTTATCATTACATACAGTATCACCAGTGTCCGTGGAATTTTGTAGTGTTCTATGAGTAAAATAATAATAATAATAATAAGTGTAAAGTCTTTAAACCAGCCTTAGAGAATGCAATCAAAGAAGGGAGAGACAGCAACAAGGATAACAAATTATACCTGGACACATCTCATGAACAGGTTAAGAACTTACCACTGGGGAAATGTTATGCACGGACGTGATTAAAGAAATATGGCACATGGAGCAGAATTGTACAGAACTTAAAGAATGCAGAAAAGGAATATCTTTTAGAACGTAGCAGGAGATGATATATTAACATATAACAGTTATATGTTAAAACAGTTTCAAGTAAATGTCAGTTCAAAATGTGCATAGTATATTAGATGAAATAAAAACAAAACTGTGTTTACCCTGTTGTCATTGTGGAAGACTTCTGTGGATGTCCCCACCCCTATCAATTAGAGCACATATTATTTAGCATACATAAATTATATTTTAAGTAATTTTAAATGGAAATTTAAAATAAATAAAGGACATTCATAGATGTTTGTATTTTTTGAAGGGTGGGGTCTTAACTTTTGGTTTATCGGATGTCCTTACAGAACAATTGGATTCTGTTACTGTAACTATTTGGGTTTCTCAAATGTAAAGCTGCTTATGTTCTTGTATTGTGTAACTGAAGTCTTCTAATGCTGTAATTTGCCAGATTTCACTGTGTCCTTGATACTTGATCACAGTACCAAAATGTTAAAAGCAAAGCTAACTCATCAGTCTTTCTCTTCAGAACATCGTTATGTTGATGGTACTCACAAAAGAAAGGTCCTTAAAACCAGCACATATAAAAAACTGAGAAATTGTGGTGATGCTTACTGGTTTGATGACTTTCAAAGATGTTTAACATACTATAATCATACTGTTGGAAGGGAGCCTTCTTTATTTAGAAGCAGTATACTCACAACAGATAATACAGGATAATACAGGACAATCTGCTAGTTACTAAATCCTGGAGAGGTATTGGATCCACCTTGAGAACAGGAGGATGCTGTATCACTTATATTACTCAGGTTTTGTATAATGTCATATTTGTCATCCAACTATCTTCCAAATCAAAATTTTCCTCCCCCAGTACCCACTTTGAGTTACATAAGCCCCACCTATCATCATCATCATCATTATTTTATTTCTTATCTGCCTCTCCTCGTGACTTGAGGCAGGTTACAGCATAGCTAAACAATCATTATATAAAATGTATTTCTACATTTTAATATTCTGTGTAAATTAAAATCCACAGAACAATGATTAAAATATAGTGGATACAAGATGCAAGTTTAAATGTTATGATTTGAACTGGCTGGGTAGGCCTACTGGAAGATAAAGGTCTATAGATGGTTTTTAAATTGCGACACATCATTTAGCTGTTGGATTTCTTCCCAGAGGTCGTTCCACATGAAAAGGCCCTCTGGGTAACAGTAACCAGTGGGGTTCTGTCAGGCTGAAGTAGCCACAACCCAGAGAACTTAAGTGTTCAAGGTGGATTGTATGGGAGCAGATAATCCCATAGGTAGTCTGGACCCAAATCATGTAGGACTTTAAAGGTCAAAGTCAACACTTTGTACTTTGCGTACCAATGGTAAGGCGTTTTGGGAGTAGTGAACTAAACATCTGGATCACTTTTGTAGTCTCCTGGTTAGATATGCTTTTCTGCATAGTTAATTATTCCTAGTTAAAGAATACCATTACCTGGTCAATTTTACTTCTCTGTATTGCGTTATTTCAACAACAAATCCTTTTTAAATTTTGGAACAGGTGGGACATGTATGCTTCTACTAAGGTTGGTTGTTGCACTGCAACTCCAGTAAGATCTATCCATCACATTCAGCGAGTTGCAATCCAACATCAGGAGAATCATAGTATCCCTGCCCTGATGTAAATATCTTACTTATTCCTACTGTGCTTATTTTACTTATGAGTTTGGTATTTTATTGAAAATAAATAGTAATCAAAACACTGTATTTGTCTCTTTTGCAGTCTTCCATAGAGGTGTTTGTGAATAGACTGGATTCTGTAGAATCAGTCCTTCCTTATGAATATACTGCGTAAGTACATTCAGTCAGACTCTGTAACATGATCTGTAACAGAATTATTTCTGAAAGCATTGCTAAAAATGTAAAAGTTTACGAATAACTTGATTCACCTGCAGTGTCATTAATAGCTTTGCCCTTGGTTTAGTCACTCGTCTCTTCTGTCATTCCCTCAGCTGTTGTAGTACAGGAAGACGTTCTTCCCCAACAGCTCAGGTGATAAAAGTGCTGCTCTTGCAAGGATGACAAAGATACCCTTAGAGGTAATTTCTTCCTATCGTTATAATGGCATTTAGGAAAGTGAGGAGAGATATGAGGGGTGAGCTGACAATGATATTTTAGGGAGAAGGTTGGTAGGATTGTTTTCTATATCTTTGAGTCCTGTGTGGGAAGATATACAAATTAATATTTAAATATGAATTCAGAAACTAAGGATAATAAAGTATGACATCAAAATAATAAAATAACCAGAAACTCACAAATCCAGTTCCTAGTGATAATCACAAAATTTTGTTTTTATTGTTGCTGAGTATCTAGCAAATAAGTCTCCACTTTCTGGTTGTTTGTAGTTCATAGAAAGCTCAATGAAGAGTCAGTTTTTCACTTTTTGGGACTTGAAAAGCAGGAATAGCAAGAGGGAGTCCTGCCATTAATTTCCTTTTTCATAGCAGCACTACTTTGGATCCATTGTAGATGTAAAATGATGGAATCTTATCTGACTTATTCTGATTTCAGAAGAATAAAGAAACTGGTTTTATCAGTTACCTTTATTTTCCTCAAACCCTGCGGAAAGTGAGAGGTTGACTTTTCAGTGTCTTTTAGAAAAGTCAGTAAGAACTATTAAAAAACAACTGACTTGTAAGGCAATCTCACATTTTCATCTAAAAGATAAAAACTGTAGGCAGTCATATTTAATGAGCATCTACAAGTATTTTAACATTTGTCATGGTTGGAAATGTTTTATGTAGAGTAAAAGAACTAAGATGATATATGATCATTATTGTAATTTTCTTAACTGAATATTGCAGTGAGTACTTTGCTTATTTCATAATTAAAGTAAAGAAGTTACAAAACTGGCTTCAGCCTTAATATGCAAAATTATCAACAACAAAGTGTGTTCAAGATACAATTCTATCTAAAAATTTTTTTCAGAAAATTGATTTGTGAAATTGATTAATAAGCTTTCCTATTTAACTCTAAATGAATTCATTGGTTCTGGATACAGATCATTGACAAAACAATTACTGTTGTGTGTGCTTTAGCTATAAAATTTCTGATGTGTTTCAAGTTGTGTTAAGTGTTGGAACACAACAGACAGTTCTACATTTTTCAATAGGTTTGATTTTTGCCAAGCACCGGGAGAGAAACGTCCATCTGAAAATCTTGGTCAAGTATTGTTTGGAGAGAGGATTGAACCATCTCCATATAAGGTATATGCTTCATTTAAGGCGTTATGAAGAATAAATTTGTACAAGTTAATGAAAAAATTAACTAAGACAAGATCAGAACATCAGTAGTGGGCGGGGACTTGCTCTTGAAAGTCTTGTGAGGCATTGATATCTGGATTTGTTGATGTTGCACTGTTAAAATTCTCCCATAGTGCTATTTTTCTTTGCCTTTTGTGCATGTTGGGAAGTTAAAATGCAATGGTGGGTCTAGCTATGTGCAGGGTAATTCTTACTGGACATTCTGCTTCAAGAAATTCAGAGCTGCTTTTTTTTTCTATTCTCCACACTAGGCCTTTGAAGAGAACAGTTTCTCATTTTTGGTGAAAGCTAGTGTGTGCTCTATTAGATAGACAAAAAAAGTGGAAAAAGACAAAAAGAGATAGTTGTGCTACAAGCTTGTAAATGTATTTCCCTATGACTGTTCTTTGGCAAGCCAATGACTAAGTAGATCTTCTTCAGTATTACGTATCTGCTTTTGGGCTGTTGAGTAGAAGGGGCCACAGATGAAGAAAAGAAACATCATCTCACCCCAGAAGCAATTGCTAGTGATGCATGAAATACTCTGGAATGAAGTTTGCAGCTAGTTGATAAGATCACAAAGGATTTTTTAAAACTATAGCCCACAGCTAGCTGTAGTGTCACAGATTTTTTCCTTGTCATAGTGTTCAAATGTTTTTATATTTATAATGCTGTTGCAGTCTGAGATTTACATTGCAAGGGGGGCACAGGCAGAATATGCAGAATGAGTCATCAGTTGGCTTTAGCGGAGAGATGCTGTGTCAGTCCTCAGTGTGTTTCATGAGAGAAGTTCTTTGAGTGCCCAAATTTAGATATTTATGATCCATCCCAATATTATCTGTGGGCCCTATTCCTTTTTGGTGCTGACATCAGTCTTTATTTGTGCGAAGCCGTGACAAGCCGTGACAAGCCATGACCGCTTGTTACTAAAAATTTAAAACCGTTCACTTGCTGCCACCAAAATATGTGAGGAAGTCTCCAAAATGAAATAATGGTGTAAAATCCCAAATAAATAGGATCACCACACAGATGTAATAAAGATTTGAGACTTCTAGCTTAAATTGCCACCATAATATAAGAGATATTGGTAAAAATGATCTCTGGTTATCCCTATCTGTGTTGTGAGGCACCTTGGGTAGTGTGGAATGCTCCAAACGTGGAAATCAGTGAAGGAGGCAAGTTTAAAACACAAAAAGAACAGGTTTATTGTTATCAGAGCGTAAATTGTTGCAAAATGAAACTGTTGAACTTGGCACAAGCTTGATGGATACAAAATGGCTTGGTTGAGTTACATTAAGTCTTCCGATGTTACAATCCTTTAACTCTTTCTACAGTGAGGTACTTTATTATTTCAGTGTTCCCTATTGTGAATATTTACAACTGTTTGTCCTTCACCGGATCAAACCAACGATCTCCAGATTTTCACCACTGGGATCTCTGAAACCCTTTCTTGTTAGATTCTTTTCCACTCAAGCAATCTAACGAGTTTCCACCTTCAGCTTCCTAGCTGGAATAATATTCACAAAACCTAAGAACTAACTGAATTTACACTACTCCACAGAGCCTCCTTGACTCTGCTACTCTCCTCAGGGTCTCATCCGCCTGACTGAAAAAAAAACTGTCGCTTTCAAACCTTTTTTACTTAAGCTCCGCCCACCTCCTCTGGCTTGTCACCATGGCAACCTATCTCTCTCTCAGCTAGGCCCTGGCCACAATGTAAAGCCTAAACACAGTTTGAAACACAGTATAATAAACACTTCTCTACACCTTCCCCCCCAGAAAAAGTATTTTTGCACCATTTCTTAGTCCTAGAAGGGCAAAAATAACTTCATACATTACTCAACAATAAATACATATACATAACATTCCTGAAAGGGAAACACATTATGGTTAAACACATTTATATTGCACATTTATACAAACCTCCAAACTATGGAATCCTAGATAAAGCGTCCGCAACTACATTTCGTTTACCTGAAACATGTTTCATTTCAAACACAAAATCCTGCAAACACAAACTCCATCTCAACAACTTATTATTCGTACCTTTTACATTATCCAACATTTCTCTAATTTCTTTCTCAATACACTCATTAATTCTTCCAGTAACCCTGTAAGGTGGAGAGATTATAGGAGTGGCATCACCGGTGTTTATCTGATGCTGAACCCCTTGGACTTTTCCTGGCAAATCCGAAAATATGCCTCTATATTTACTTAACACTTCTACGACCTCTCTACGCTGCTTGTTAGACAATCGACTCCAATTCCATCGCAGTGCCTGAAGAGGTGACGGAGGTACCTGCTTGTCCAATTTTGTGGGATTCTTTTAGGCCTGTTCTTCCTGAAACCGTGGAGGAGATTCTTGGAGCTGTGAGAGCGACTACCTCATCTCTAGACCCATGCCCATCTTGGCTCATTAAATCAGCCAGAGGGGGGTTGCTTGACTGGTTTGTACCGATTGTTAATGCATCATTGGAGCAAGGAATTTTTCCATCTAATTTGAAGCAAGCCGTGGTTCGCCCACTCATCAAAAAAGCTTCCCTTGACTCCACGGTGCTGAATAACTACAGGCCGATCTCCAACCTCCCGTTTTTGGGTAAGGTGATGGAGAGGGTGGTCGCCTCTCAGCTCCAGGGCTTCCTAGACGACACCAACTATCTAGATCAATCACAGTCTGGTTTCAGGCCTGGTCATGGCACCGAGACAGCCTTGGTCGCCTTGGTGGATGACCTCCGCAGAGAACTGGACAGGGGGAGTGTGACTCTGTTGGTTCTCTTGGACATCTCAGCGGCTTTCGATACCATCGATCATGGTATCCTTCTGGGTCGTCTCTCCGGGATGGGCCTTGGGGGCACGGTTCTGTCGTGGCTCCAGTCCTTCCTGGAGGGACGAACTCAGATGGTGAAGCTGGGAGACGCCTGCTCTGACCCCTGGCCTTTGACCTGTGGGGTCCCGCAAGGCTCTATTTTGTCTCCTATGCTTTTTAACATCTACATGAAACCGCTGGGAGAGGTCATCCGAAGTTTTGGAGTTAGGTGCCACCTCTATGCAGATGACACACAACTCTACTACTCTTTTCCACCTAACTCCAGAGGCCTCTCGGGTGCTGGACGAGTGCCTGGCCGCTGTGTCTATCTGGATGAGGAGGAACAAGCTGAAGATCAATCCCGACAAGACAGAGGTCCTCCTGGTCGATCGTAAACCGGATCGGGGTATAGGGTGGTTACCTGTGTTGGACGGGGTTACACTCCCCCTAAAGTCACAGGTCCGCAGTTTGGGTGTCCTCTTGGATTCCTCGCTTACACTTGAGGCTCAGGTGTCGGCGGTTTCCGGGAGGGCCTTTGCGCAACTAAGACTTGTGCGCCAGCTGCGACCGTACCTCGTGAAGGCTGATCTGGCCGGGGTGGTCCACGCCTTGGTCACCTCTAGAATGGATTACTGCAATGCGCTCTACGTGGGGCTGCCCTCGAAGACGGCTCGGAAACTCCAATTGGTCCAGCGGGCAGCAGCCAGGATGCTAACCGGGGCTCATTATCAAGAGAGGTCTACCCCTCTGTTTAAGGAGCTCCACTGGCTGCCATTTATTTTCCGAGCCCAATTCAAGGTGCAGGTGCTCACCTACAAAGCCCTAAACGGTTTGGGACCACCCTACCTGCGTGACCGCATCACCATCTACGAACCCGCACGCTCGCTTCGGTCATCTGGAGAGGCCTTGCTCGTGATCCCACCCACGTCGCAAGCGCGCTTGGTGGGGACACGGGACAGGGCCTTTTCTGTGGCGGCCCCCCGACTTTGGAACGCCCTTCCAAAAGATCTCAGACAGGCCCCTACTCTAGCCGTTTTTAGAAGGAATTTAAAAACTTGGCTGTTCCGTTGTGCTTTCTCAGACTAGGAATCCCCACCCAAGTCCTAGTAGCACTTTAGTTCAACAAATCGTTCTGCACACCGCACTTGAAATCCTTAGTGCCTCCTGCCATTTCAGCACTTTTAATCCCTTGTACCCAGTGCACCGGCCGAACCAGTTTTAATAATGTCTTGATGTACTGCTATTGTTGTTATTTTGCTATTGTTTGATTTGTTTTGCTTACTGTTGTGTTATGTTTTACTGTATTGTGTTTTGAGGCTTCGGCCTGTGTAAGCCGCATCGAGTCCTTCGGGAGATGCTAGCGGGGTACAAATAAAGTTAATAATAATAATAAAATAATAATAATAATAACTCATATTCATATCTACCCGATCCAAATTTTTACACTGTTCACGATCACCCTCCCAAAAAGAAAAGGGACCGGATTCTTCTTCCGCAACAACAAAACATACATTCGCAGACCTTACAACATAAGGTTTTAACATATTTACATGGACTCTCCTTTCAACATTTAAATGTTCATCATAGATGTCATAGTTCACTTGGTTGTGCTTTCTGGTGACTCTCCATGGTCCCGACCAATCTAGTTGAAGCTTGCTGGTTCTGTTGGGCGACAAAAACAGGACTTCGTCTCCCACATTGAAGTTTCTTGGTTTGGTCGTTGCATCGTAATAGTCTTTTTGCCGATGTTGTGCTGCAGTTAGATGCTCTTGTGCAATGTCTCTGACTAACCGCATTGTTGATTGAAGATCTCTCAAATAATCATCTACAGGAACCGGTTCTGTTACTGGGCTGGCTTCCCAGAATTCTTTAACCAAATCTAACGGTCCTCGAGCCTTCCTGCCATATAACAGTTCAAAAGGACTGTATCCTGTACTGTCCTGAGGGACGGTTCTATAAGCAAATAATAGCTGTTGAAGCTTATTGTCCCAATCAAATGGTCTTTCTTGGCAATATGACTTCATCATCTTAATCAGTGTCTTATTCAGATTTTCAACCAACCCATTGGTTTGGGGGTGGTATGCCGTTGATGTAAGATGTCGAATTCCGCATAGCTCAAGCAGTTTTGTCATGAGCTTTGAGGTAAACTGGGTCCCTAAGTCAGATACCAGTTCCTTGGGATATCCAGTCCTTCCCCAGATAGACAATAAAGCATTAGCTACCGTTGTAGTCTCGATGTTAGTGAGAGCTATTGCTTCAGGATACCTCGTAGCATAGTCTATCATAGTTAAGATGTATCTATAACCACGTCTGCTTGGCTTGTTGAGGGGACCAATTATGTCAATTCCCACTCTGTAGAATGGCTCTCCAATTAAAGGCATAGGGATAAGAGGTGCTTTGGTCTTATCCCTCCTGTAGTTTGTCTTTGGCATGTATCACATGACTGGCAGAATTCTTTTATTCTCTGGAACATGCCAGGCCAATAAAAATTCCTAGTGATCCTACTCGTGGTTTTTCTCACACCCAAATGTCCACCTTGAAGGTTTTCGTGTGCCACCCTCATTAGCTGTTCTCTAAATTTTTGAGGCACTACAATTTGACTATCTGACACTGATCCTTCTGTCGAGGGTACTCTTCTGGTTTCTCTGTATAATACACCCTTCTTTAGCACAAACTCGGAGGGCTGTTCCTTTGTTGATACCTGGGTGTTTTGAGCTGCCGCGAATAGAGGCTTAAGAGAATTATCGGCTCTTTGTTCCTGCCGAATCTCCTCAACTCCTCCCGTCTTACTAACAAGCTCAGCAACTGTAGAACTGGACTCCGGCCCCTCACTTCCATCATGCTGTACGGCAAAACATAGGGCTGCTGGTTCAGGGGTTTCGATGTTATATTCCTTCTCCTCACACGCAATCTTCTCACTCTTAATCCTCTCAGCCAAATCGTTTCCAATTAAGCATTCGTATGGTATGTCAGGACTAACTGCAAAGTCCCACATACCTTTCCATCCATCATATTCTATTGGTAAGGTCACGACCGCAGTTGGAATCGCAGGTCCTAAACCTTTTAGCTTTACTTCAGAGGTTGGCTGTTGAAATTCCTGAGGTACTATTTCAGGATTCACTAAACACACTTCTGAACCTGTGTCTCTGAGTCCCTTCCGGTCCTTGTTGTCAATACTGATGGATTCCAAGTAATCTTTAAATGGGCTGCCTGACAAGATGAACAAACATTGTTTCTCTTGTGGCTCCAAGCCTGAACTCTCTTTCGAAACAGTATCCTGTTCTGCCTGTGGTGTTTCTTTCATCTTGCTCACAAAGAGGGATGTTTTTTCTTTCCTTAACAGAGGACATTGATATTTTATATGATCCAATTTTCCACATTGAAAGCAACGTCTTTTTACCTCAGGAGAGGTTTGTCTTGTTACACTCTGCCTCCTATAGATGGTGTTTTCTAAGTCAGAAACCTTCCCTGGTTGTGGGCGCGTTTGATGTGGATAAAATGGCGGCTTGTTTACTCTTCTTTCGCCTGGTGGATCTTCTCTTTTAAATCCCTCTTTTAAGGTTGTAATTTGATCTGCCATAACCGCTGCCTCTACAACAGTGGCTGGCTTGCGATCTTGAATCACCCACCGGATATCAAAAGGCAATATTTGAAAAAACTGCTCCAGCTTCAAAAGTTCCCTCAGCTGTTGATAATCTTCCACCTCCGACGTCCTTATCCAACTATCAAACAGTTGAGACAGTCTTGAGGCCACCTGAGCAAAACTTTGAGCTTTATCCTTTTTTATTGTCCTGAACTTAAATCTATAATATTCAGGAGTCAATCTAAATTCTTGTTGAATCTGCTTCTTAAACAGATCATAGTCTCCATAAGACTCCTCAGGCATCTGTCCATAAATCTGCAAAAGTTTCCCACTTATTTGTGGCCTTAGGTATGTCATCCATCTTTCTTTAGCCACATCAAAATCTCGACAACATCTCTCAAAAGATATTAGGAATTTCTCTGGATCATCGTCTTTGTTGAATTTTGGGAATTTCTTCATCAAATCTGGGATATTTCCTCCAGATCTTCCCTCCTGGGTTCCACTGGCTGTTCGAGACAAAGCCAATCTTTGTTTCTCTAGCTCAAACTCCATTCTCTTCAATTCTAACTCCTGTTCATTCTCTCACTCTCTGTCTTTCTTCAAACTCTCTCTGTTTTGCCTCTTTCTCCATTTCAAGTTCTCTTTCTCTCTGTCTCTTCCATCTCGATTTGCAATCGTTTCATCTCTAACTTGTACTTAAAAGCCATTTCTGAGAAAGGTATTGGCTCATCTGTTTCAGAGCTCGAATTTTCCTCTACTCTTTCCTCAGCTAGCTTTCTCTGCCGCCTGGTAGCCATTTTTTCAGCAACTTTTACCTCACAACTTATTTCAAAATTAAACTTAAGGCACTCGATTAGCTGTTACACGAATCCCGTCGTCTGCCACCAAATTTGCGAAGCCGTGACTCCCACCGCTTGTTACTAAAAATTTAAAACCGTTCACTTGCTGCCACCAAAATATGTGAGGAAGTCTCCAAAATGAAATAATGGTGTAAAATCCCAAATAAGTAGGATCACCACACAGATGTAATAAAGATTTGAGACTTCTAGCTTAAATTGCCACCATAATATAAGAGATATTGGTAAAAATGATCTCTGGTTATCCCTATCTGTGTTGTGAGGCACCTTGGGTAGTGTGGAATGCTCCAAATCGTGGAAATCAGTGAAGGAGGCAAGTTTAAAACACAAAAAGAACAGGTTTATTGTTATCAGAGCGTAAATTGTTGCAAAATTAAACTGTTGAACTTGGCACAAGCTTGATGGATACAAAATGGCTTGGTTGAGTTACATTAAGTCTTCCGATGTTACAATCCTTTAACTCTTTCTACAGTGAGGTACTTTATTATTTCAGTGTTCCCTATTGTGAATATTTACAACTGTTTGTCCTTCACCGGATCAAACCAACGATCTCCAGATTTTCACCACTGGGATCTCTGAAACCCTTTCTTGTTAGATTCTTTTCCACTCAAGCAATCTAACGAGTTTCCACCTTCAGCTTCCTAGCTGGAATAATATTCACAAAACCTAAGAACTAACTGAATTTACACTACTCCACAGAGCCTCCTTGACTCTGCTACTCTCCTCAGGGTCTCATCCGCCTGACTGAAAATAAACTGTCGCTTTCAAACCTTTTTTACTTAAGCTCCGCCCACCTCCTCTGGCTTGTCACCATGGCAACCTATCTCTCTCTCAGCTAGGCCCTGGCCACAATGTAAAGCCTAAACACAGTTTGAAACACAGTATAATAAACACTTCTCTACAATTTGGTGCACCAACTTCGGTAATAAACAATGAAAACCATTATAGTGGTTCTAAATATGTGGAAATTATAACATTCTGAGATTAAGATTTCTGATTATTTATATGGCTATGTACTTTTTAATCCAGACTTCCACATGCACACTCCTGTGTGTGAGGAAGTAATGCTTGTTTTAAAACTTCCTTTTCTATGACAGTAAATAAGTTGTGGAGTGCCTGGTGGCACAGCGGGTTAAACCACTGAGCTGCTGAACTTGCTGACCAAAAGGTCAGCAGTTTGAATCTGGGGAATGGGGTGAGCTCCTTTTGTTAGCCCCAGCTTTTGCCAACCTAGCAGTTCAAAAACATGCAAATATGAGTAGATAAATAGGAACTGCTCCAGCAGGAAGGTAACCGCTCTCCATGCAGTCATGCCAGCCACATGACTTTGGAGGCAGCTATGGGCAACGCCGGCTCTTCGGCTTAGAAATGGAGATGAACACCACCCCCCAGAGTCGGATATGACTAGACTTAATGTCACTCAAGGGGAAACCTTTACTTTTAAATAAGTTGTCAGCAAAATTATTATGTTATCACTAGAGTTTGCCTTAGACTTATCTTTCGTGATGAGACAACCACAGGCACTAGCTTTAAATCAGGCCTTCTCTGTGATCTTTTTTTTCTTGACAAAGACAACCAAGATAAATTTCATGTGTAAAATCCACTCAAACCCCAATTAATCTTGGTTTAATTTCTCCTGTGGTGTATGAAAAAGTCATACAAACTCAAAATCATTTTGAGTTGTGGTATCATTAGATTACTTAGCAAATTACAAATTGCATTTGCTTAATCTTTTAGGTGCATGGTGCCTTGTTTTATCTGTAATTGAAAAATTATATGTGAAAGACTAATCAGAGTACAAGGGTAATCAACAGGCAGCAGTGTTATTATTTTCATTTTCAGCTGTTGCAATCTAAGAATGTGTTTATATGTTTCCTTTATTTTTAAAGATTTTCAGATACTTTGAAGAATGAGTTAATGAGAAGATTTTCTTCTTAACTAAATGTTTCTGGTTTTATTTTTAGTTTACTTATAAAAAAGAAGAAGCATGCAAGCCTGTTTGTACAAAAGAATATGATCTTAAAAAACCTGAAGACAGACAGAAGCTAGATTTTCTGAAAAAAAGCATGCTACTGAACTATCAGCATCACTGGTGAGCTTATTTTTAATGTCTACTGTAGGGTGAACATATAACTGAATTTATAATATGATATCCTGCTTTAAAGCCAAGATTGTAAAATGTAAAATTAAAATTGTAATATTAATGAATTAGCCAAACCAAATTATCTTAGTGAGGTAAAGAAGTATGCTACTGATCTGGTATTGTCTGTATGCCATTTAATGTGGTTTTCGTTAATGTGGTATTTGATTGATAAATGGTCAACACTGCAAGACTTATCTCTGATAATGTTCGGTTCATTACTATTTGAATGTACCTGTCTCTGAAAAAGACCACTTAACTGAGATGTGCACTGTTAAGAATAATTTTGTTGTCGTTCCTTTAAGTTACCGATTAACAGATAAGGTCTGGGTTGGGCAGATGTCAAGCTTGGAGGGCCATTTTGTGTTAAACTCAAACCTTAGGATCTCAAAACTGAGTGCCTCGTACAAAAGGCATAAACAATTCTTATCCTAGGGATAGATTTGGATTACTGAATGGAACTCACATTTCAACCACTTAAAACTGTACTCCTGACTACCACATGTGTCTACATTTCAGTGATATAATTGGAGCTAGAGTCATTTGATACCTGATGCTTATATATATTGGGAGTTTAAAAATCTTGCTGTTTAAAAATCTTGCTATCCTAGCAAAAAAACAAACAAACAAAAACCTCCACTAAGGGAGCATAATTAGATTGTAGTGCTTCAGTCAGAAGAAGATTTATAAAAATTTGTTGTAGATTGCCTGGAAGTGCAAGCTTCAGTAGGATCAAGTAGAGCTTTCTTGGTGGTGACATCTTATGAAGCATTTCCTAAAAGGATGCTGTTACTGATCTCTTGCAGGATAGTGGACAATATGCCTGTAACATGGTGTTATGAGGTTGAAGATAATCAATGGTTTTGCAATCCTGGATTTCCCATTGGTTGTTTTATAACAAAAGATGGACACCCCAAAGATGCCTGTGTTATTAGTGTAAGTTTTAATAAGTAATATTTTCATGATGCTTATATGTGTCTTTTTCTAAGCTTTTGATTTCATCATTGTGTTATCTGAAGAAGTATACAGTTACAGTCATCCTGTATTAGAATAGATGGAAATAATAAGCAGCTAGTGTGCTTAATGCTATGCTGCTTTTTGATGTCTTATCTACATCATACTGGTCAATAACAGCCAAGTGATTGCTGAATTTTTTGTTTACCTCACGCTATTAAAATATTCTTTTTGTACTCTTCCATTAAATTTCAGGAGGCAAATTTGCTTTTTCCTGCCATATGTTAAGTTATTGTCAATGTAATAATTCATAGGTTTTACTGTTGTGTACTCCGAATATAATATACTAGTTTTAAGCATGTACAGTGGTAATACACTGTGACTGATGCTTAATTTTGCATGAAAGGATGAAGGACCAGTTGAAAGGGATTCAGAAAATCTAAGAATACTGTATATGGAATTAGCTAGCCACCACCCAACCTAACACTTTTCCCAAGAAGAGGATTTTCAGAGTCCAGAGTTGTTGTTTTTATTTATTATTATTTATTTATTATATTTATATACCATCTCTCTCAGCCCAGAGGTGATTCGGAGCAGTGGAACTGCTCTCTCTCTCTCGAAGTTAGCAGTATTCTGGCACAGCTGAACAGTATACTACATGGAACGCACTAAGCCCAAGATAGCTAAGGGTTGAGCAAACAAGTGGTAGATCAAAACACATCTATGACTTCCGGTTGGTGACTGATTAATGGAGGACACGCTTCTGTGAGCTCCGGAGAGCTCGGATCAGGAGCGGCTTGGCTTGAAGGTTTTGGGGATCGCAAAATAGCCCAACCCCCACTAGACGGACAGAGGTCGTGGGGGCGAGACCCTAAGGTGCCATCGGCCGACGGCATCTAAGTGGGGCCCCCCTCAAGGGGGCTCTCAAAGATGCCCGGCAACGAGGCACAAAAGGGTGGACGCAAGCCACAGTAGGAAGTTGTAAACTTCCCGAGGATCCATAGGCCGCCAGCACAAACAGCAAGAAAGGTGCTCTTTTGGAAGCTTGGAACAATAAAGCGAGGGATATCCAAGACCCACAGCTGGTAACAGGAGTGGAAAGGGAAAGAAATATATGAATGGATGCAAGACGGACGCAAGACAAAGCAATAAAGTAATAAAGGAACAAAGATACTCAAGGTAAAGACGCTCAAGGTAAAGGAGACAGAAATATAGGGGTGGAAGGGAAGGGGGGAAAGAAAGAGAGCAAGGGAAAAGAAGAAGAAGAAGAAAAGGGTTAAAAAGGATTAAAAAGGATTCAAGGAGTGAAGGAGGGGTCTGAAGAGGGAAGGGAGAAGGAAGCGAGAATCAACAATTAAAGCAAAACAGAGGGCATTTACGAAAGGAAATAAGCCCAACCAACACAGCTGGGTAGAGCCAATACAGCGGGCTCCCTCCCAAAGTGGGACAGCAGAACCGAGATCCAAGGGACCTGACGACCGACCCCCTCAAGGGAAGGCCGGAAGGACCTAGAAGGGTCGAGGTATAGCGGGCTGTGAAAGAGGGCATCCAAATGTGACTAAATATTCAAGCCCTAAACCATAGACCATTTTCAAACCTCACTCCCCACCCAAAACTTTAAAACCAGCGGAAGAAGGAAGGAGACCTCTCATTATATACTTATATATAAAAAAAAGAGCTAAGGGAAAATCTCCCCACCCTTGCCACCCCCCCATATCTCGCCTTGGGGGGAAAAAAAAGGAAAAAAGGGGGAGAAAACCCCAAAAGCAAACACAGGAAAACGACAAGGAAAGAAAGGAGTTAAGCAAGTGACCTTGAGTTGGAGATATTATCTAGGTGCTGGCTGGGAGCCAAGAGACCAAGAGACCAAGACGTGTCCTTGGCGAGGAGAGGAAGCAGATAGGGATGGTACACGGCAGTAACCTCCGGCCGCGTGGAAGAAGTGGAAACTAATGCGAGATAAGGGGAAGCCAGAAAACGGGAACAAAGCCCCCTCGCGAGAAAGAGCGAGAGAGCGCGAGACGCGAGAGGAGACGTGATAACGCAAGAACAGGAAGAGACGGGGCGAAGCCAAAGGGCAAAAAGGTGGAAGAAGGGCGCAAGAAGGGCTGGAAGAGAAGAAGTAGAAGAAAAGGAAGCAGGAAAGGGCCGCACCAATAAGATAAGAAAGGGACAGATATAGAAGGGAAAGAAGGAAAGGAAGCAACAGGAGGTAAGAAGCTTAATGTACTAATCCAAATAAAGCAAGTGAAACAAAAGATTGCAAAACAGGAGATAAATAAAACGATACAAGCACGACTAAAACAAGCAAACTAAATAAATCCTAAATAAAAAGATAAGAAAAAAAAACAAAAAATAACAATAATAAATTAAAATTTAAAAAAAAGTGAGCAAATAGGCAGAGGAGGAGAAGTCAAGAAGATCAAAAAATAAAGTATCCACACCTACCCCACAACCCCCGCTGACAAAGAACTAAAAGACATAATTATAAAGAGGGGATAGTAACCCGCCAAGAAAAGTCAGAGAAAGAAAAAGAGCGGGGGGAGGGGAAGAGTTCCTACAAAGAAACAAACACAACTGTGAAAATGGCAACGCAAAGCTCAAAGGGGAAAAACACACCACTGGCAAAAACACAAAACCAAGCCAAGAAAGACTCGCTGACAGATGAAACAGCACTCAACCAGATACTGGCGGAAATCATAAAGATATCAACAAAGCAAGATACACAGCACAAAGAGTTACAAGAGGAGATTAAAAATATGAAATTAGAACTCAAAAAAGACATAAACAAACTACAGGAAGACCTCGACAAAATGAAAAAGGAGAACCAAAAAATATCCAATGCGCAAGGAAAAATGGAAAATAAAATAAGCAAACTGGAAAATATAAACCAAAAACTCCAGCAACAAACTGAACTGATAGAAAATAGAGAACTGGAATACCAGTTAAGAATCCGGAATCTAGAAGAATCAAAAAATGAAAATGTGAAACAGATAATGATTGAGTTGTTAGCAGACTTAATGGAAGTTAGCACCGAAATCATAGGCAACGATGTTGATCGGGTTTATAGAGTTCCCACGGGATACGCTAAGAAACACAAGACCTCAAGAGACATAGTAATAAGTTTCTGTCGGAAGAGTACCAGAGACGCAATACTTAGGGAAAACGCAAAAAAATCAGTGTTCTACAAGGAAAAAATAATAATAATCATGAAAGAGGTTACCCAGTCAACACTAGCAAAACGAAGAAAGTACGCCTTCTTAACCGAAGAGTTAATCCGGAAAAAAATAAAACTTAAATGGGAAAAAGTCGAAGGGATCACAGTGACATTAAACAATACTAAATACTGGTTAAATACAGAAGAAAAGGCAAGAACCTTCTATACAGAGCATATTAAAACTAAGACACAAGGAAATCCACAAAGAAACCCCCATAACAGTTTAACAGGAAGGGAGCTAAAGAGACAAGAAAGATCGGAAGAAGGTCAAGAGAGTAGGAAAGATCTACCGGATGAAGAAAAGGATGAAGGTGGAGAGAATAAGGACTGCACGCCATGGAAGGTCCAAGAGGAAAGAGAGAATAAGAGATTAAGGGAGTTTTCTCCCGAAAACTATCAACTGATGCCTCCTCCGGAAATTGCACAATGGGAAATGATGGACATTAACCATGAGTAGGGATATAAGAATACATTTTAACAATATTAATGGATTAAATTCCCCCAGCAAGAGGAAAAAAGTATTTAACTTCCTGAAACAAAAAAACATGGATCTCATCGCATTGCAAGAAACGCACATTGCAAGCAAACATTCCAAATACTTAATACATGAAAAATTAGGAAAAGAGTTCCACGCCTCAAACAGGGGGGAAAAAAGGGGGGTGGTAATATATGCGAAAGACTGGCTAAGCCCAAGACAAGCTTTCAAGGACCCAGAAGGAAGATATATTGGAATTATAATTGAAATAAAATATCAAAAAATTCTAGTCTGCAATATTTATTCACCAAATGGGGCGAAAGTAAAATTTATGAAAGAATTGAAAAGAGAAATAGACAAACAAACTTGGGATGAACTAATAATTTTAGGAGACTATAACGGGGTGATAGACGTGACCCTAGATAAAACTAACAATACCTCCGCTAAGAAAAAAGGTACTAACAAAAGTAGCCTGCTCCCTAAAGCACTCATAAAACAATTAGAAGACCTAAATTTACTAGATATTTGGAGGCATCACAAAGGCACAATCAGGGACTATACATTCTATTCAGGAAGACACGGGACATGAATAGATATGGCCTGGGTGACAAAATCACTAAATTTAAAAATAAAAAAAATAAATATACTAGCCAGGACCTTTTCGGACCATTGTGCGGTGGAATTCACAATTAAAGGCAAAGAAGTAGTTTTTAGATGGAAACTAAAAGATTATTTACTCAAAAAGGAAAAAGACATAGAAAGGAACAAAAAATTGCTAAAAGAATATTTAGAACTAAATAAAGGAGAGGAAACATCTATAGCCACTCAGTGGGAAACCATGAAAGTGGTGATGAGGGGATACATAATCCAACAGGAAGCAATAAATAAGAGGAATAGACACAGAGAAACTAAAGAAATTTTAGAAAAGCTAGCTAGCAAGGAGGAATTATTAAAAAAAACCCCCAAGGATAAAAAATTAACTCTAATCATAAATTCACTCCAAAAGCAATTACAATTACTGCAAAATGAAATCTTGGAAAAGCAAATGAAGTATATGAGGGCAAATTATTTTCAAAACGCAAATAAGATTGGTAAATGGTTAGCAAACAAAATCAAAAAACGAAAACAAAAACACCTGATAACCAAAATTCAAGTAAAAGATAAAATATACACAGAAGAAAACAACATTATTAATGAATTCACCACATTTTACAGAGACCTATACAAAAAAACAGATACAGATGCTGAAAAAATAATGAAGTACCTAGGTGAATTAAATATTCAAAAACTAACAGACAAGCAGAGAGGGAAACTGAACGGAACAATCTCAATGTACGAAATTGATGCAGCGATTAAAAAATTAAAAAATAATAAAGCACCAGGGCCAGACGGTTTTACTGCCCTATTCTACAAAACCTTCAAGGATGAAATAAGCCCCCTGTTCCAAAAAATTGCAAATAATATATTAGAAAATGAAATAATCCCCAAATCGTGGGAGAAGGCAAACATAATTTTAATACATAAAGAAGGGACAGAGCCTACAGAAATCAAAAATTATCGCCCGATTTTATTGTTAAACAATGATTACAAAATTTTTGCAATAATCATGGCGGAAAGGTTAAAAGAATTTCTAAAAGAATGGATATCTAAAGAACAATCCGGTTTTTTACCAAATAGGCACCTGAAAGATAATACAAGAACAGTAATAAATATTATTGAATACTACGAAAAACACAATGAGAAAAAATTAGCAATGCTGTTTGTAGATGCCGAAAAGGCCTTCGATAAAGTAAATTGGGATTATCTGAAATTACTAATAAAAGAAATCGATATGGGATACCACTTTAGAAATGTAATTGAGGCAATTTATAAAAATCAAGAAGCAACCTTAATTATTAATGGCCAAGAAACAAAAAAAAAGATTAGTATTACTCAAGGTACAAGACAGGGATGCCCTCTCTCCCCACTACTTTTCATTCTGGTGATGGAAACCCTGGTAAGAAGTATAAACAAGGATACAAACTTAAAGGGACCGAAGATGGCGAAACAACAGTACAAATTGAGAACATATGCAGACGATGTGGTCTGTTTTATTGAAGACCCAATAGACACAATTAAAGATTGGCTAAAAAAAATTAAAAACTTTGGGGTGGTGGCAGGGTTCAAATTAAACAAACAAAAAACAAAATTAATAGTTAAAAATATAGACGAGAAGTCCAAAACCACACTGCAGGAAACAACAGGGATCCAAATAGTAACTAAAGTAAAATACCTGGGCATTAATATCACCAAAAGCAATGCAGCACTAATCAAAAATAACTACGAAGTATTATGGGGAAAAATCCAAAAAGATATGGAAAAGTGGAAAAAACAAAACTTATCATTTCTAGGCCGGATATCGATAGTAAAAATGATAATCCTCCCACAACTCCTATTTTTATTCCAAGCCATCCCCGTAATCCGAAACAATTTCCTCTTCAAAAAATGGAACACTGACATAATAAAATTTATATGGGTAAATCAAAAGCCAAGAATCAGTATGAAATTACTCACAGACGACAAAAAAAGAGGTGGTCTGGGATTACCAAATATAAGAATATACTATGAAGCATGTAACTTAGTGGCAATAAAAGAATGGACTACCCTAGAAAATAATCAAACATTAACTTTAGAAGGCCACGACCTTAGAGCGGGGTGGCATAGTTATCTATGGTACGGCAGAAGAAAAATAGAAAAAAGCTTCAGTGATCATTTCATAAGAGCGGCCCTAATCAAAACATGGGAGAAACACAAAAATAGACGCTTTAGAAAGACCCCGCTATGGATATCAGTAGTAGAAGCAAAACATAAAAGAGGATTAGCAGAAGGGAACTGGCTAACCTATCGCCAAATACTGGAAAAAAAAGAGGACAGCAGAATGGAACTAAAGTCGTTAGAAGAAATTAGGAAATAAAATGAGAAAATTACATGGTTGAATTATTTTCAAATACGTGAGAGCTTTAGGGAAGATAGTAAATTAGGCTTCAACCAAGAAAAAGGGATATGGGATATTATCATGGAGAAAAATAAAAAATTAATAAGAATATTATATAAGCAATTACTGCAATGGGATACAGAGGAAGAGCAAGTTAAAGAATGCCAAATCAAGTGGGCAAAAGATATAGGTTATAACATCTTAATGAGCCAATGGGAAGAAATTTGGACAACCAAAATTAAATATACCATAGCCAGCGACCTTAAGGAAAACTGGTACAAGATGTTTTACCGGTGGTATTACACACCAGAGAAAATAGCAAAGTTTAACAAAAACATATCAGACAAATGTTGGAAGTGCGGTAAGGAGGTAGGTACATTTTTTCACCAATGGTGGAGTTGTAAAAGGATTAAAAAGTATTGGAAAGATATACATAAGGCCACCCAGAAAATATTAAAGATAAACTTCCCACAAGCTCCCGAAACATATCTGTTAGGAATACAAAAGAAATCTAAAATGAATAAGAATCAAGAAAAAATCCTCTTTCTATTAAACACAGCAGCCAGACTAGTTTTAGCCAGGAGATGGAAGCAAAAAGAAATTCCAACTCAAGAAGACTGGTTAATAAAAGCTTTCGATATTATTCAAATGGATAGCTTATCCCAGAGAATAAGCGGCACAACCAAAAGAACAGACTGGACAGGTTTCAAGGACTATATGGAAACAAGAGAAATTCCGATGATAATTGACCTGACTTGCATTTAAAGAACAAGAAAGAAGAGAGAGAAAGATTGCCAGCATGTATGAAGAACTATGACATACAACCATCAAAAGATCTTGGAAAACCTTGGGAAGTCATCTCACGGACTGGGGATAAGTCTTTAAGGACTTAGGGTGGTGGGTTTTGTTTTTTTTTTTTCTCTCCTTCTACTTTCTCTTTTCACCATGTTATTATAGTGTAACACAAAACTCAATAAAATTTATTTTAAAAAAACAAACACATCTATCCTTTTGTCTTCTATTCTGGCCTCAGTGACAGAAACTTATCCAAGAATATTGGACCAGATATTGCTCTGGACATTTCCACTAATTGAATTTGCAGAAACCTTTTATTAGCTATTTTCACTCTCATAGAAGACAACCATATTGACTCAGCCATCTTCAGTATGTATCAACTGGTGAAAGTGTATCAATGAGAAACAGCAAGTCGCTTCTGGTCTGAGAAAATTGGCCATCTGCAAGGACATTGCCCAGGGGATGCCTGGATGTTTTACCATCCTGTTGAGGCTTCTCTCACGTTCCCACATGAGAAGCTGGAACTGACAGATGGGAGCCCACCCTGTTCTCTGGATCTGAACCGGTGACTATTCAGTCAGCAGTCCTGCTGGCACAAGGGTTTAACCCATTGTGCCACCAGGGGCTCCAGATGTTTACATAAGTCCTGTAAACTAATATCAGAATGCTAATACTAAGAACATGCTTGTAACTTATTTTTGACATAGATGTACTTTTTGTTGAATTTGTTTTTCTTCTTCCATGTTAAAATAAGGGTGTAGTTCAGAAATGTGCTTTTCCTTGTGGTCTCACTCAAAGCAGACTTTTTAGCCAACTGAAATAGCACACTATAAAAGTTGAAGTTTCTTTGTACTTCTCTCTGGTCTACTTATAAAGTGCCAGATGATCGGATGAGTTCTAAGGGAAATGAGCAGTTATCCTGGTATTGTCACATTAACTCTCAATATAAAGTTGTAGTATTTTTTAGCAGTTCTTTGACAAAACTCACTGCTGGATTTTTGTCAAGATAGGTGAATATCTGAAGAGTGAATCCTGAATTTATCAGGAGCTAACAAAAATATCAGGAGCTATTTATTTAGGCCACTATGGGCTCCTTTGGTACTGGTTTTTCAGGGCCTCTAGCTGAGATCTTTGAAACTGCAGGCGGATAAAGAATTGAATCTGAGAATGTTTTCATGCATTACAGCAGTGGTTCTCAACCTGTGGGTCCCCAGGTTTTTTGGCCTACAACTCCCAGAAATCCCAGCCAGTTTACCAGCTGTTAGGATTTCTGGAAGTTGAAGGCCAAAACATCTGGGGACCCACAGGTTGAGAACTATTGCATTAGGGGGAGTGCTCCTTTTTAGCCAGTTTAATGCCTTTCACAACAGCTAAAGTTAAAATAAAAGCAAATTGCATCATTTAGTAGTGGTTCTAGTGTTTGGAAGGTCATTCAGGTTGCAAATTGTATTTAATATTATTATTCATTTTAATTCTCTTTTTTAGTCAGAATTCCATGAACACAATACCTTCTATATCTTCAACCATATGGACATTAGAATAGTCTATCACATTGTAGAAAATGAAGCACCTAGTGCAAGACTAGTCGCTGCCAAAATTAAACCAAAAAGGTGAGCATCCAATCTTACTGCTATGAAATACAGGATTTGGTCAGAATGTGATAGCTGTCTTAAATTGAATTGAAAGATTAATGGAATCTTCTTTATATGTGGAGCCCACGGTGGCACAGCAGGTTAAACCACTGACCTGCTGGACTTGCTGATCGAACGGTTGGCAGTTCAAATCTGGGGAGCAGGGTGAGTTTCCGCTATTAGCCCAGCTTCTGCCAAACTAGCAGTTCTAAAACATGCAAATGTGAATAGATCAAAAGGTACCGCCTCGGCGGAAAAGTAATGGTGCTCCATGCAGTCATGCTGGCCACATAACCTTGGAGATGTCTACGGACAACGCCGGCTCCTCGGCTTAGAAATGGAGATGAGCACTAGCCCCTAGAGTCGGACACAACTAGACTTAACATCAAGGGGAAACATTTACCTGTATTAGACCCCACTGTGTCAGGCACAGAGACCATGAAGATGATAAACAGTTTTGGTTTAGTTCTTGAAACTGGAATCCCCTTCACTTACTCCTATTATCAACACATTCCCCAAGTTGGAACCAAAATGTATAAAAATATAATTTCACTGTGGCTTCCTCTAGTGTGAAGACAAACATCTTACAAATTCATAAAGGTTGATGGATATTTGCTATATGGAATAAAAATCTAACCGATTCGCTGCGCCACCGGGGGCTCCAGGTCTTATATAGAAAGCCCCATATAGGAAGTTTTTTTTTTCTTTTTTGCTTAAACTTGCATTTGATATGTATGACAAAACTTGTTTCTCTGTATGTCTTTATCAGTGGTTCTCTGCATAAAATGTTTACTTCTAGTTTTGATAAAGAGCAAATGTGCATATTCTATTTTAATCTATTATGTCCATCTTTTTCTTTAAAAACGAACCAGTTACAAGCACACAGATCCTGAAAAGCCAGACTGCTCTGGACCACCTATGGATATAAGTAATGAAATGACTGATGGAAAAGTTAAAATTGTCTATACTTATTCCATTTCTTTTGAGGTTGGTATACAGTACTTTCATTTTAAAAATTTTATACTACCTCAAGGATACTTCCTAAATAGTCTAAGGCAGGTTACTGTTAAATTAAATTATGATAATGAATTAAGAGGTATGGTTTATTTAAAGTGATCATTAGTTACCATGCGTAGCATGTGCAACAGATGGCCATCCAGCCTCTGCTTAAAAACTTCCAGAGAAGGAGGTTGATTTCAAAACCTTTGATCATTTTGGTCACCCTTATCTGGACACTTTCTAACTTTTATATGAGTGCAGCTGATGTCGTTCAGTGCATGGATGAGACAGTAGTATAGAGAGCAGGAGTTTAGATGTATTAGCCACTAGTGATTATTTTTAGACACTCTTCTTGTACAAAACAGACAGATTCTACTTGAGCCTGAATGGAACCAGACTGATGTTACGTAACATAATATGAGTGGCAGAGAAATTTCTAAACTTTACTCTGAATTATCGCTAATGAGAGTTAGGATAAAATCAAGTTATGGTTGTATTAACCCTAGGAGGTGGTTGCCCAAATAAATCATAAGAATATGGTCAAACACAATAAGCAGAACAAGTTTAAGGTTATAAAGAGAAAATACAAATGCCATAGTCATCTGGAGAAGGGTGCCATGTTATAGCTCTTTCTGTAATCAGTCTGGAAAATTGTGATTTTAGGTGTGAGTGTGGGTGCACATAGTTTTAAGACAAAACAAATATAGAGGTCATGGAAAGAGACGAGTTAAGACAGATAGGATAGAATTGCATAAAAGCTGACATAATCCAAAAAATGTGGATGGGGGGGGATACTTTTCTTTTTCTCTCATAGTAAAAGCCTATATAATGAAACTACCACTGCCATGCGATGAGGGGAGAATCAGGGCAAAAAAAAATATTTCATACAGTAAATTATTCTATGGAATTTGCTTCTCCTACTTGTAGCTACAGGCACCACATTTGATAACTTTAAAAGTGATTGGTTTCACGTTAATGGGTCCAACATTTTCAGGAGTAAAAATTCAAAATCATTCAATCTTCCTTGCAGTTGTGAAACATGCGATAATTAACCATTTATTTTTCAGGAAAATAAAGAAATCAGATGGGCATCCAGGTGGGACTACATTTTAGAATCAATGCCCCATACACACATACAGTGGTTTAGGTAAATTTCAATTTTAATTCCATAATTATATTGGAACACCATTTTGGTACAAAAGATATAAATGTTGATGTTTGATCATGATTTGTTTGTGTGTTTGGTATTTTGTAGTATTATGAATTCTCTCGTGATTGTCCTTTTCCTTTCTGGAATGGTAGCTATGATCATGCTAAGAACTCTCCATAAGGATATTGCAAGATATAATCAAATGGATTCTACAGTAAGTATACCATTTTCTGAAATCAGCTATTTCTTGCTGGTGAAGAGTTTCTTGATTTTTTTTTCATGCCCGAAAACTTGAATATATTCATGTTTAGAAGTTGTTTAAATGTTTTATTTTGTTAAAATATGTAAGTACAAACAATTATTTTAAACAACTAAAAATATATTAAACAATTTATTGGTTAAGACCAAATGATTTAAATCCAGGTGACACAATTTAAAATAATGTGACATGTTTAATTGGAATGAAATCAATTTAATAAAAAGCCATGTTTTTGACTTGACATTGAAAAATACTAGCTTTGTTTGAGTTTGGCCTCCAAGGAAAGAATATTCCACAACTAATGTGCTGTGGCAGAGAAGTTCCTCCCACTTGTCCTCCCAAAATGTATTCCTTCTACCATAGAGATGCAGAGGAGTGCCCTTACAGTAAACCTCCGTGGGCAGGCATCTCTATCTATCTATCTATCTATCTATCTATCTATCTAGAGAGAGAGAGAGATCAATTATTCAAGCCTTTTAAAGTTTTAAAAGTCTTCACTAGCTCTTTGAGTTCAGAGTAGAAGGGCACCCAGTTCCTTCAGTATTGTACTACTTATGTAATGCCTGCAAAACAGTTATGGAAGAAAACAAAAAAGCGAGTTGGGGGGGGGGGGGCTGATGTTACATGGTTTTGAATGATATTCCAGTCAACAATCTATCTGTTGCTTTTTGCACTAGCTATCATTTCTGAGTTATCTTCAAGGACAGCCCCATGTAGAGTGCATTATAGTTGTCAGATCAGAAAGTTACCAGTGGATATAATAATAATAATAATAATAATAATAATAATAATAATAATAATAATAATACTTTATTTTTATAACCCGCCACCATCTCTCCAAGGGGACACAGAGAGGCTTACAAAGGGACAAGCCTACAGATTACAAATAAATACATTAAAATAAAATCAACAACGGCAATCAAATAAAAACATATCACAATCTCAAAGCGACATCATAAAAACAGTATCATGGCAGAGAGAAAATCGAGGCTGGGGTTGGGCTTAAAATAAGTGTACTGGTTCCTAAATAGAGCTGAGGGAAAGTGCAAAAAATTCAAAAGGGCCAGGCTAGAAGGGTAATACCCTTAGCCGTAAAATGTTGAGGTTAACAGAAAGAGGGCCAAGTAAAGTGCAGGAGCTTAGATTAGGTGGGGCGAATTGTCTGGCTGGACTCCTGTGGCTGATGTGTCCCTGCTCAAGAAAAGCTGTCTTTGAGGAGCCAGTTGAAGCTGAGCACTGAGTCCATCTGGGCCTTTAGTGACAAAAATGGATTTTTGAGTACTCCCTTTCTATACACTTGCGCCTTCAGAGGAACCTCGGCTACATCCAGGGCAGGTAGCTTACCCAGTTCTGAGATCTGAGAACCATTAATCCACAGAGCTTCTGTCTTAATGGGATTCAGCTTCAGTTTATCAGTCCTTTTCCAGCCCATTTTAGTATCTCAGCATTCTTCCAGCACCTTCATTGTCCCAGGTGACTCCCATGACAAGGAGAAGCAAAGCTGAATGTCAGCAGCATACTGATGGCATTCAGCCCCAAAACTCCTAATCAGCTCTCACATCATTTTAATATAGTGTTCCTTCACTTATTGTGGGTGTTACGTTCCAGGACCACCTGCAATAAGTGAAAATCCGCAAAGTAGGAACACTATATATATTTACAGTATTTAAAATCAGAAATGTTTTGTCCAACTTACCAGGCAAGGGCCGTCGCAGCGATGGGCACCCTCCCACCGGCCATGCTGCTTGCAGGGGGCTTCTTCTTCCCAGAAGCCTCCTGCGCGGCAGGAAGTTTCCTGCCACTTGGCCACCGGCCAACCAGTGGCAGGCCCTGCCCTATTTGTCATCCTGGGAGAAAAGAACTCCCTGATGTCTCTAATCACTAAGATAATAGTGAGGATTACCCCACCTCGCCCCGGCAGCCTTTGTAGGGCTGCCCTGGGCCTCCACAGGACTCTGTGGCTGCCGGGGCAAGATGGGAAAGCCAGCCCTGGCTGATCCAGGGACAGGGCCTGCCACTGGTTGGATCAGCCAGAGCCGGCTTCCCCACCTCACCCCAGCAGCCTTTGCAGGGCTGCCCTGGGCCTCTGCATGGCTCCATGGCTGCTGGGGGGTGGGGGGAGGTGGGGAAGCTGGACCTGGCCAAGCCAACCAGCTTACTCTGGCAGATTCATAGATATCAGGACATGGTCCCCTTACTTTCAGACAAAACTCTTCCCCTCCCTAAATAAAAATGGCATGCCTTTGGCATCTGCAAAACTAACAGCCTTGTTTGGACAATCGGAGACACTTTCTCTCCTTACTAACACTCTGGAGAGTACGGTGTTTGCTTATGCTATAGCTGGATGTGTGAATTAACATGATCTGTGAAACTGCTTGACTTCCAAAACCTATCTGTATTCTTCCAAAACCCTTTCCCCCACATTGTGACAGCATTAGTGGCTTTCTCTACTAATATCCCATTAATCAAGAGCTGCAAAACAACCATGTGAGTGAATCTATCTTCTTTTACTAAGCATTATAGTTTGGACTAGTACTCTAGTTGATGTTGACTTTGGCAATGCAATGCTGTAGCAAGCAGTTTCAGACTAGCAGCAGCAGCCACCCCCACCCTTATTTGTTTCAAACCTTGATGTATTGTATTAGGTGGATCCTCTTCATTAGACAGAAAATTGTTAAGTCGACTGTTTATTGTCACCTTACCATTTGTGTGTGGAGGAAGTATCCATAGCTGCTTCAATAGCTGACATATGCACAGTTAACGTTTTTCTTAGAGGACCTGTTGCCTTTAAATGTATTGAAGTCCAGCATCTGATTCTTTGTTTGTCTGCAAAAAATTGAGAGGAGGGACCAGAATCATCAGCCTGTGGAGATTGTGCATGTGAATGGAGAGATTGTTCTATGGAGAGAATCCTAGCGATCTAGAATTGGAAGATATTTATCAAGGTGAACGGTGTCTGTAAGAATAATATGCCAAATGTTCCTAATTCCTTTTCAGGAGGACGCTCAGGAGGAATTTGGCTGGAAGCTTGTTCATGGTGACATATTCAGGCCCCCACGAAAAGGAATGCTGCTTTCTGTATTTTTAGGCTCTGGGACACAGATTTTAATTATGACTTTTGTTACTTTATGTAAGTAAACATAGAAGAGGTACCTGGGTAAATCATGTCTTATGGTGGGTTGGGAGATCAGAATCAGAATATACTTATGTTTCCCTCCTCCTTTTCTAAAAGTGTAATTGCATTTTATGTCGAGAGCTGGTGCCACCTTGCAGTTGCTTTGCAGTGTGGTTAGGGGATCAGATGGGATTATATTTACAGTGTCTAAACTAATCTTAAATATATGAAATTGCCAAAATGAGAATCTGCAACTGTCAAAGAAGAAGTGGAAGCAAGAGTAGGCCACTGGTTTCAGCTGTCTGCCTATGACTCATTCTTTCAATCTGCCTTCAGCTACAGCAGCCATTCTGTTAGTTGCACCAAAGAGAGGAATGGGAAGCATAGCCATTTCATTGGGTCAGATGAGATCCCGACTACTTTTGGCTTCTCTTACTAAGCTATTTCTTTTTAACTGGTCTTTAGTTGTAGCTTTAAGAAGTGGTGCCTGAATCTTGTGTTTTTATTGATCAGTAGGTCACTCTTGGAGCCTTTCTGGTTAAAAAGCAAACATTTAAGCATTTATTTGAATTTAAAATATTATAAATAAAATGAAATGATAATAAATATGCAATTATGTCATCAGTCCTAGCTTTTATATGTAGTAGAAAAGGATGAATGATGTCAAGCATACACATCTTTATATATCTTCTGAGTATTGTCTGTTTCCTTTTCGGTAGTCTTTGCTTGCCTTGGATTTTTATCACCTGCAAATCGGGGTGCATTAATGACCTGTGCTGTGGTCTTGTGGGTGCTGCTTGGAACCCCAGCAGGTTATGTTGCTGCTAGGTTCTACAAATGTAAGTATAAAGGTTTATTTAATGTGACAGCACATAAATTCATTAGTCTAAATTATCATCACAGCTGTGATTCCCCCCCCCCCAATACTTTTTGCCCCTTGGGCAAGAGAATACTGTTTAAGACTGAAGATACTACATAGAGATTTAGCTTTGTTTTGTAAATGAAAACTTAAATGATGGTTTTTTTTTGTAAAATTGATTTTATAAATTTTATGGCATTTGGTCTCACGAGCTCCTTATAAAAAAGGAAGAAGAGGATAATTGATATCATATTGGTGGGAAAATCAGACTATAGTTTGCTTTTGAAATTGCTGTTTTTGCTTGACATTACAAAGTTTGCTACACTTTTGTTTTCCTTGATTTACACGAGCTTGAAAGGAAAATAAGTGCCATATTTGGTTAAAAATAAGACCTGCTTTCATGAATAGTGCACTTTTTGTATTAATCTGTATATAGTGCTATGTATATTGTACACTGAATCTGTGAAACTGTATAACTTTATTTTAAATAATTTGATTCACAGCTTCATAATAATAGATAAATTAATAATTAAGAATTTGGATAGTAATTTTGAAACTTATCTAGTCTTAAGTTTTCAGCAATGAAATAATTTACATGTGAGGTCCATGTTTGATTTGATTTTGACAAAATTGAAGAACAGAAAATAAATCTTAACTTTACTTAGAATTCATACCCAATCTGTGCAGATAAAACAATGTTGTGATGGTCTTCTTTTTCTAAAGCATTTGGGGGTGAAAAATGGAAGACAAATGTTCTGCTGACAGCCTTTCTTTGTCCTGGGTAAGCTAATGTATATAATTCCTCTTAAATTCTCTGTCATAAGCTAAAATGGGTAAGTCTTCAGTAATGTTTAGCTGCCTTCAGTGCACTTTTTTTTTGAGGGGAGGGGGAAGATGGTATTATGATCCTGATAATCTATGGCCATTTTATTTAGATGTTTTTATGGTCTATTTGGAATTGATTCCAGAGTATCCATCATTGTAGCAGTTATTAAAAAAGCAACGTTGTGGAATATGCCACATTATCTGACAATACCCCATTGATTCCTAGATTCTAGCATAGAATCTAAATAATCAATTGGCCAATATTGGAGTCAAATAGACTTTTGGAACAATAATGTCAATGATATGGTAGATGATGCCGTTTTTTTGTTTTTGTTTTTTTACTTTTTGGGTTAATTGTGTTTATTTTGGTCATGTGAACATTTAATTAAGCGGTACCAGAAGGATTTTTTTTAAAGAGGGTTGCTTTTCATTGATTTCTAGCTATAATCCTTAGGCTCCTCAGACCACGCTGCACTTGGTCTCATGTAATGCCATATATTGTACAATACCTATGTTAAATCTCTTGGCTTAATCACAGCAAGCAGTCATCCCCTCAAGTGTAGTTAAGGCGGACATATATTTGAAGCTATTTAGCCGAAATGTCAGTTCCTGGTGGAGATCAGTCCTGTTAGATTAAGAAAGAAAGATTTGCTTGACCTCTTTGCTTCATATTTTCTGCTTGTCACCTAGGTTTAATGTTAAGCTTAACACACACTAATATTATTTCAATAACATTGAAACTAATCATGTATGAATTATTATATTACATTTCTTTCTGTCTCCTAAGCATTGTATTTGCGGACTTCTTTATCATGAATCTGATTCTCTGGGGAGAAGGCTCCTCTGCAGCTATTCCTTTTGGCACTTTGGTTGCTGTTCTAGCTCTCTGGTTTTGCATATCGGTACCACTGACATTCATTGGAGCCTACTTTGGATTTAAAAAGAATGTAAGTGATTTGTCTTCTACTCCAGGTGTGAACATAAAAGTAGAAAAAAGAACCTCATGCATCTGAAAATTAATTCTGGTTTATCATGGTCCTTTAAATGATGTTGTGCATTAGGCCTGAATTTAATGCTTCAACACTATGTATAAAAACATGATCAAATTGTATGATTCCTAGAGAGCCACGTGGATCCTGATCAGCTTCAGTACTAAGATAATCATTGCAAGTGTGTCAGTATGTGGCAATCTTTGTATGCATTATGTTTAGAAATTCATGTTATTTTAAACTGTTTTGAAGAGATACACACTTTTAATAGTGATGTTTAATTAGTTAACCTTCAATTTTATATACTTTTAAAGGCCATAGAACACCCAGTCCGAACCAATCAGATTCCTCGTCAGATTCCTGAACAGTCATTTTATACAAAACCATTACCGGGCATTGTTATGGGAGGTATTCTTCCCTTTGGATGTATCTTCATACAGCTTTTCTTCATCCTTAATAGCATATGGTAAGCAGCCTGCATACCTCTTGAATAGTTTGTTCCTTCTGACTGTTACTACTTTTTATTATTTTAAATAGAGATTGCATTTGTGTCTTGAGCTTCTCACCATTGCTTGCCTCTCTTTGATGTCACATAAAGCCTGTTTTACTATTGAAGACATGTCACCTATTTTCCTGTTGGTGAGAGCCTTTTTGTAATAAAGCCATGTGCAGTTTTCTGCTGTTGTTGGTTCTAGTGCTGTCTGACATAGAAGGTCCTGACACCCTTGAATTAGACTTTGGGCAGGGCCTCTTTGACTGTGTTTTCTAAGGTGCATGAGGAGCATGGAGCTAAATTGAACATTTGAGTAGTTTCCTACAGCTATACCTAGAATTATATCTGTGTGCAGAATGAGCAGTTTGCAGAAGATTTTACTGAAGCAGGACAGAAAATGTTTGCTTTATACAAGGTACAGTGTGTGGCTAAAGTCCAGTATTTATAGAATCATTAAACTCCACCAGTTTGACATTTGATAAATGTATTTTTTATCTAGGTCTCATCAGATGTATTACATGTTTGGCTTCCTGTTCTTGGTATTCATTATTCTGGTTATCACTTGTTCAGAGGCTACTATTCTACTTTGCTATTTCCACTTGTGTGCAGAGGTAAGCTTTCACCATATGCTGTCATGAGATAATACTCCAAAATCTCTCTTATTTTCCACTTGGGTGTAAGTGGCAAAAATGTCCTATCAGTGGCTTGGATTCAAGTGAGGAAGGAACATTTTTGCCAACTCCTCTCAGTTCCGGCACAATCACAATATCTTAGCCCTTTAGAGATACTTCAGAGCAACCTTTGTAGGTGCAGAAGACTACAAAGAGGAGGGGTGTGTGAGAGAAAACCTGGATTCTTTAAACTTACTGGGTCCAAGCCAATATATTTAAATATCATTCACACTTCTTGTGAATCATTAATGAGACTGGGAGAACCTCAGATGCTGCTTCCCAAGTGCCAAGATGTCTATATACAAGAGTTGGAGAAAGTATCTGCACAGTAACATTATAATTCAAAGCTGGTTTTGGATGGGTCCCTTTCTTTCCAGCACCACAACTGATGCTTCTCAGGATGGTTCCCATATCTTCTGCGTACCATTTTCAGGAGGCTAAAGGCATTTCCTTGGGAGAGAGGAGGGCAAAATTCATTTCCACTGGTCCAGTTGCATGGGTCTAAATCTATACTAGGAAGTACTTGTTTGGGAGAATTGGCTAGTGAACCCCTGCAGGGAAACTTTCCTAAGTGTTTGTTAAACAACTATGATACAAGGTTCAGGCTAGAAATGTTTAAAAACCTTGGCTACTACACTACCATTGGCCATGGCTTTGTATGGCCACAAGGAGAAATGGGTGATTTTTAAGTTTACAGTGCTCTAGTTATCCAAAGCATTGCTACCTCAAATATGAGCAACTAGAAATTCAAATTAACAAATCCTTGCTATCAATCAGAGCCAGTCAAGTTTATCACTGATAAACTTGACTGGCTCTGAAAATTCAAGGTTAATTATCTCCCACCTAAAAACCAACGTAAAATGCCCTTATGTCCAAAAACCATCCCTGTGATGGTTTTTGGACATAATTGGTTATGTTAACAATTTATTTATTATTAACATTAAGGATTATGGATGAATGGAATTGTGTGCCTTATGTTTTTAATCTGTTTATTGTTCTATGTGTTTTATTTGTTCAACTGTTTTAACTGTTATTAGTTCATGGGATATGTTTTATTGTAATTTTTTTAAGTGGCATTTAATCTTGTCAGAGTTGTAAGCCACCTTGAATCCCCTACGGGGTGAGAAAGGCGGGGCATAAATAAAGTAAATAAAATAAATATTTATTTCCTTTATTTATATTCTGATTGGATACACAACCTTGCAAGTAGATCTGAGCTGAATGTTTGCGACATTTCAGGTTAATTTCATCCTGAAAACTTCACACAGATACAGTATTTGCCCTTTTACATCCCCAAAACTTCCAGATGCCTTTTTGGCTAAGAAAGGCAACTGGAAATGGTACATGATTTCATGCATGGCATATGAAGGTGTAAATCACCTTCCTACAGGTGGCAGTTGCATACACTTTCACGTATACTTAACCTGAGGACTTTTACTGAGATTAATGAATGGATGGATCTTACAAAGTACTGTACATGAGCCATACACATTCATCTGTGGTCTAGTGACTTCCATCCTGGAGACAATTTTTCCCATTTTTGTGAAATGTGTACTGTTTTTCCCAAAAGTCCACCGCCCTGATAAGCGCGGGATATAAATAATGTAAATAAATAAATCATTTCCAATGGAGAAAGTTACAGGATACCTGTTTATTGGGGCCAAAAAGCATGTAATGTCCAATGTATGCTTTATTACTTTGTTTTAAACCTTTTAATTCAGATAAGTTGATTTCTTGTAACTAAGTATGTCAAAAAGTAGTTCTAATTAGAACGACCTCTTTCTTTCTTCTAGGACTACCATTGGCAGTGGCGTTCCTTTCTTACCAGTGGCTTTACAGCTGTTTATTTTCTTATATATGCAGTGCATTATTTCTTTTCCAAACTTCAAATTACGGGTACAGCAAGCACCATTTTATATTTTGGCTACACCATGATAATGGTCTTGATATTCTTCCTTTTCACAGGTAAATATTTGTTTGTCTGAGTAAAGATAAAGGTTTTCCCTTGACATTAAGCCGAGTTGAGTCCAACTCTGGGGGTGGGGGTGGGGGGTGCTCATCTTCATTTCTAAGCTGAATTGCTGGCATTGTCCTTAGATGCCTCCAAGGTCATGTGGCCGGCATGACTGCATGGAATGCCGTTACCTTCCAGCCGAAGCGGTGCCGGTTGATCTACTCACATTTGCATGTTTTCAAGCTGCTAAGTTGGCAGTAACTGGAGCTGACAATGGGAGCACACCCCGTCCCGCAGATTCGAACTGCCGACCTTCTGGTTAGCAGCTTTGCAGTTTAACCTTCTGCATCACTATGGCCCTTTTGTCTGAGTACATGTCAATATTAGTATAATGACTGTGGATGCTGGCCATGCCAGCCAAACTCAAGAAAGGAGTTGACTTGGGTTTTGCAGTTTAAAGCCAATTCTGAGGTGTTACCACTTTACCTTTGGAAATTATTTAGCTGGCTGTTCAGCTGTCAAATAAGCATGTAAAATGCTGAAATAATTAATAAAGGGGAAAATTCACTACAGTTCAGTATCCTGGCATAGGACAGAAGGATGAACATAAGATCTTCTGCTTGAAAAAGTCTGTTCTTCCATTATATGGATGCAAAGAATATGTGTCAGTTTTGAAGGTTGTTCAATGTAAGAAATTTTGCGTCCTTTGTATAATACTCAATCTTTTCACAGAACGTTTTTGCCTCCAGTGGTAGAGATTTAGTGATGATTTATTTTCTGTTGCTGTTCATTGGGATTCTTGCTACTTTTCTAGAAAAACCTAATGAATTGCTTATAAGGAAAAAATAGGAAAGTGTTTATTAAACCATACCTGGTGAATTTCACTAGGCTAAAATGAGATCATTCTAGCAAGTTATCGAAATCACACACACACAAGCCCCATGGGCGTTTAGCTTTCTGTGTCAAGTTGATATAAAAGCTAAAAAGAGAAACTCATAATTGTTGTATCAAAACTATTATATTGCCGCTTACTCATCTGTTAAAAATGGTCAGCCTCAAGAAGGGTTTTGACGGTGCCCTGCTGTTATGTCAGTGCAGCACATGCTCGGGGCACTTGCTTCTCACACGGTATTCCGGGTCATTGATCTGACACAGCAGGCAAAATACTGGGAGCTATGTGACAAATCTGACTCACAGCTGGGCCCACAAGAGTGTCTCGGAGTAAATGAGTCAGTTAAATATCAGTAGCTTAGCCGGCATGGAAAAAAATCAACATGATATCATTCACAGTTCTTCTTGAAATATTTTGTAGTGAATGAAGTGTTGCTGAATCTTTCTCATGCTGCTTAGAATGCTTGCAACCTGTCATACAAAAGTAAAAAGTCTCAAAACAAAGGAACTAACCTTTAGTAATCTATTTTGTCCATAAAAAGGTTTGTGCTACTTGACTGTAAAATTCTCGGTTATGTCAAACCAACTTTGAATCACCGTGATTGAGATCCTGCATAATTTTTATTGTAGCTATGTGTGACAATTCCACATCCCCTCAAATGCCTACTTCTTTGGCCAGGTAACACCCCAACCATAGGGTTTCTGTGGCATTGCAGATCAAGAGAATGGGGAAATTATCTCTATAGTGCTCTTTCAGATGGGGATGAATTGAAAACAGGCAGAAGAGAGGAATTGACTGGGAGAGCATTGCAGACATCATTTCCCAATTTCCTGATCCACAACAGCTTCAGATAGGACACTACCTGCATGTAAACATAGTTTTGAAGGAATATGTTGCATTACAATATCTGTAACATGAATCCCAAGAGTTATGAGATTGTACTGTAAGTACTTTGGCTGAGGAAGCTCTCAGATACATAAAACCTGCAACAATTTCAAAACAAGTTTAACTACTTGGCAACTTATGTCTTCAACTTACTGTGTTTCTTTAGAAATACAACTTATACAGTGTGTGTTTCTAAAAATGTTTTATTGAGAGTTTCCAAACATACTAAAAGCAAAAACTCTGAATGTCTAGATATGCCTTAAAAAAGAAAAAAGGAAAAGAGACCCAAAACAGCCAGAGACAGAAAAAAAGACAAGTAATGTCTTCCAGCTTTCCTTGTTCTAGTTATAGGTCCACATGCATACAGTCTTCTTCATTAGAAAATGGTTGCACTTCTTTTACTCAGGTCGAGATTTAAGACAAATGAGACCCTTTGCTGAGTCCCCTTTCTTGGGTCCTGAGGGAGATGGGCCTACACTGTCTGCTTTGTGGCACATTTCCATAGACAATCAACTCTATCATTATGTCTGGAATCACTCCGAAACCTTCAAATTTATACTAACACCACAGAAGCCAAATCCATCGTAAAAAAAAATAAATCAAGAAGATAGGCCCTCCTGACCAAAGGGTCCCTTTTCTTAAGCACACCTGAGCACAATGGTGAATCCGGCAATGCTTGTCATACTCCAAAATCAAAACTTCTTAAATTGTGAACTAGTCTGTCTTGAATTACAAGTTTTGACTCTACTGTGGACTCAAATATGTGATAAGATCAGACATCTCGGAGGAGGGGTTAGGGTTAACAATTGTTTCATCTCCAGGCAATGTAGGATGCTCTTACGATTTTTTTTCTTTTAAAATATTAGATTTCACTAGTTTCTCTTTAAAAAATAGTAACATCAGGACAAAACAAGTGTTTGACAGAAACTATTCAATCAGCTACATCTACTGGCTAACTCTAAATACTTTAACTTTAGCTTTATATGTGCCACTTTGTATTATATTGCATATAGTTCATGATATGGCTTAAACTTTAAAGTGTTCAGGATATATATCAGGCATGGGCAAACTTCAGCCCTCCAGATGTTTTGGACTTCAACTCCTACAATTCCTAGCAGCCAGTAGACTGTTAGGAATTGTGGGAGTTGAAGTCTAAAACACCTGGAGGGCCAAAGTTTGCTCATGCCTGATATATATGAATTAAAGAATCTGTACTGTAGATGGAGGATGGGTCTATATGTTTATTAGATTATGTAACAGATCCGTTGGTTGCACTAAAGTGAAAGGAATGTATTTCTGATACAGTCTTATGTTCTTATTTGTAGGAACAATTGGATTCTTCGCATGCTTTTGGTTTGTGACCAAAATATACAGTGTGGTAAAAGTAGATTGAAGAAATTCTCAACTAAAATACAGATGGCATCAACCTAATTCAAAGACATGCTTTTGGGAAGGAATTTAATCTTTATCTGGAGTATTGACTTCTGTACTTTGTGAATGATACTGAATATACATTTTTCTCCCACTCAGACTTGTGTATTGTAACTTACAATCTGGTTTCACTTGGGTGTTCTTAATGAAGTTTGGACTTAAATATGGTATGCATTGTACATATTGCTGTTCTGGAACTTTTAAATTCCAATGGCAGGCTAAAATGATTTAATGATATTTCTAAAAGAATGCTTGTAAATATGGATTTGTAAGCCAGGATCTAATGTTGTATTAGAATACTTGTACTAACCTAAAGGTCTTTCTCCTGCTCTGTCCTCTTCCATTGCTGCTCCAGAGGATATATCAGGCCTACCTAAGCAGTTATATGGCAGGGAAGTGAATCGTCCCCACCAATCCCATCTCTGAGTTTGTTGAGTGGAATTATTTTTCTTTCAAAGAAATGATTTTATATCATGATTTTGATGGTTTTCCCAGTGTGTTACTTTGAATCTGAATGCTTCTGTTTTATATTGGAGCTATGGCCATAGATCCTTCTCCACTTTATCTGTGACTCTTTTGGGTTCCATTGGTGTTGGCCTTTTAAAAAGATGTGCCTCTTAAGTCTTGGAATCTATATATTCAAAATCATAATAAATACTGTAAAGATTTTCAGTGGGCTATTACACATTATAAATAAGTCTATTAAAGTTTGTAAATATAAGTATATAGAGATGTTTTTAAAATATGTAGATTATTTTATTATGTGTTACATTCTAGTTTTGATTTAATTCTTTGTTAATCTGCTCCATTCAAGAAACACATAATACTCTTGTACTACTTAGGAATCCTATTTCATAATGGAACTTCAGTATCAGTCCTAATCCAGTAACAGCATTAAGTTAAGAGATGGATTAATATGTTGAAAAAATCTGTATATATAAAAGCAAGATGCACTTCTAAGTGTGTTCAAAACAGGTTTTAATGATGCATTTTATGCTGAAATGGCTGGTGGCTTTGTCCTTTGGACATACAAAAGCACTCCTTGCTTTATATTAAATAGAATAAAATTTGTCATGTGTTGAATTAAAATTAATCCACACACATTTTTGAAAATTATAATGGAAACATGTTTATTGTGTTGAGTAGTTTTGACTTTACTGGTTCACCTGTTAGTAATGCTTGCATGTTTCCTGCAAGAGCACACTTGCTACCATGTAACTGCATGTTTTGGGCTCAGAAGCTGAAAAACTAGATAAATTAACTGAGGTTTTTCTAATTTTCTTTCTGAAGATCATAAATAAGGATGTTTGACTATTAAAATCCAATAAATATCATTTGTTAATAATTGCATTTTCTAAACAGAACTTTTAAACCAGCATTTACTTTGCACAAGTATAATAGGATGTGTTATGTATACAAATGCATATTGCATATTTTTATTTAGCCAATGGCCAATTTCATCGGTTGCTCTGTTGCATAGGACCTTAAGTGTGGTCCACTAGAGACACTTAGTCACTTTATCCAAGGTCAAAAAGTTTCTGTATTTGACAACAGCAAAGCAGCAGTGCAAATGACAAAATAATAATATGCAGGATTTATGTGTAAAGGTACCTCTAGCCAAAAGACAATCAGTTGGAAGGGAAGTAAACAAATTTGCAATATTGCAGTTTTTCTTTGCATTTTTGGACCATTTTGAACTTGTATTCTGGGTTGCACTCAAAAAAGCTTGAGTGAATTTTTGTAGCACATGGTTTTCCTAGTGTAGCTTCTCCCCCCAAAAGCTGTTTCTGGGGTTTTGTGGGCTCTTTAGAAGAGTGTAAGAGGAGGCACCATGACCATCCATAATACTGGGGAAAATTGAAGTATGGGTTGTCCAGACATGGAGTGCTTTCTTTGGCTTTACCAAACCAAAGACAACTTCCCAAAAATGCTAATACAAGAAGATAGTAAAACCACAATAAAATAGCCTCAGGCTTAATGTCAGATTGTAAAAACCGATCCTAAAGCTTTACCAATTGTGTGTATTTCCGTTATTTAATTTTGACTGTGGCCTGCAGCACCATCTTCACTCACTAAGTGGCAGACTTTCTAACTAGACAAAGCTATTCATCAAGACAATGGTTCTTATTTAAAAGAAGATATTTTATAAAGAAGTGAGCAAAACGCTACATTGAGAGCGCCTGAGACTGCAGAGTACCAGACAGCACCAAGAAACGAGCCATGCCTACACCTATAACAGGTGATTTGCTAGAAAAGCAGCTTGGAAGAGAAGCACAGCAGGGAGAAGATGTTTCCAAAAAGGGCCACAGAAAGTACACAGCACATCAGTAACTGGAAACAGCCACTCTGGAAGGAAAGAAAACTATCTGAACAGAAACAAGCACTGGTTTTTGGTTCTGATTTATTTACTTCATTTCACTTAGCGTCAGCTTATTGTATTCACTGTTCTTTAATGATATAGAAAACAATCCATGCAATAATAGGTTTTCATGGTGGGAAGGATCAATAAACCCAAATTGTCAGCTAAACATTCTGGGAAGAAAATGTTCCAAGAAGGCAGGCACTCATGCCAGACAGAAGCAAGATGTCCAACTTTGACAATCTCATAATGTTTATATCACACTAAAGTACCTTAAGCCACTTATCATTATTTTGTATTATGTAGCTTTTTATGTTCCTATATGCCACTTTAAACAGGTTTTTACCATGGAAAAACTCATACAAATGTGATACTAATATTGCTGAATACATCCACAGTTGTGTAATGGGCAATTTTCCTTCCTGGGCAATTTTTTGTTGAATTTTGGCAATTCCTTCCATTACTAAAGACACAGGTGCTCTGAAGAGTCAAGGTGATAAAAAAGAGTCCTGGGGTACACAAAATACCGTGGGCTACAGAATGTACAAACCTGCATTATGCAAACAATCTATGAAAATGTATTGTTGAAGGCTGTCATGACTAGAATCACTGGGTTGTTGTAAGTTTTTTCGGGCTACATGGCCATGTTCTAGAGGCATTCTCTCCTGATGTTTCGCCTGCATCTATGGCAAGCATCCTCAGAGGTAGTGAGAATGCCTCTAGAACATGGCCATATAGTCCGAAAAAACCTACAACAACCCAATCTATGAAAACCCAACCTTCTGTTCTATTTTAGTAGACATTACCAATTCTTTGATGAACCACCATGTGAACAAATACCGTAGTTGGTATAATATGTAAATATGTTCTTCTAGATTTCGGGAACTGGAGTATGGTATTTCTGAGAGACAGAGAAGCCCCTAGTGAAGCTAGGAAGTAGAAGTAGGTGATAGTAATGCTGAATAGACGTGAATGGAAGAAGAGGAAAACCAATAGGATAATTTTAAAAAGAGTTTAAGGGAAAAATTACAACAACACCATAGAGCTGAAATGATTTTCTGATCTATGCAAACCTGCTGAAGACAATGTCATGAATAGACATAGTGTTCAGATCAAAAGACATGGGGTGTGGGGAAGATGAGAGAGGGAGCACTGATAAAGGTGGATCTGACTTCTTACTGAATTATTATTACAAAATGTTCTAGGTTTTGGAATCATAAGTAGCTTTGCTGATGAGTGTTTTGCAGGATCAAGACCTAAAAATGTTCTATGGGAAACATTTGTGGAGTTTAGCTTCTAACTATGATGGTTGGTGTTCTATTTGGAGTTAAGCTCCTTCAAGAAAATACCTTAGTATGCCCTTCCCAGCAAACCAGCATTTTCCTTGTTGATAATGTTATGAAGAGAGCAGATACTTTCTAAATATTTAGGGATACAAATACATTATGCTTTATACTAGAAAACCTAGCAACAGAAATAAGGCTAGAGATTTATGTGAAGCAAGTGAAGGTTCTGGATTTCATCCAGGGTATCAAGCTTCTGCTGTTGTTGTTATTATTACTAAGTTTATTTATTGCCACTTTTTGTCTGTTAAACAGACTCTAAATGGCTAGCACACTAGGAAAGTGCTGGTATGTTCTGTCACAGCTTCAAACACCAAACAGTTATATTGTCATATGGCTATCTACTTTGCTGTGTTACTCCCCACTTCCTTTATTATTACTTGGTTTTGTTTCACATTGCACTATCCATTCCATAGCATAATCCCATCACCCATTTGCCTCAGTTTCCACTGTGGCACTTGCTTGCTTCCATTATCAGTTGCTCTTTCATGTCCCGCTGTAATTTTTTTTACAAATAAGGCTTTGGCTCTGAGATGGCTTTAGGATAACTGCTCACATTTCTCTTTATGCAAAACTTAGTGTGGGGACTGCTTTGGATTTGGGCATGGCACACTTTAGTAAGTACATTAACATCAATAGTGTTACCCCAACATTGTCCATTTCTGAGAAACATGGCTGAAAAACTAGAAAGGCTGACCTATACATGGGCTTTCTGCACAACAGAGTAGTGTGGAGTGTGTGGACTCCCCATTTTGCCTTTTAAAAAGTACAACAGGTTTCGTTAACAGAGATGACATTAAGGGGAGATGTTTGATAGCTGGATGGATAATACTGAGGAATCATTTTGGCTACAGAAGTTTTTGTTCTAAGGAGTTGGCAATCTTCCAGAGAACTCTACAAAAATATTGGATGAAAAGGCTTTTAAGATTTGAAGAAAACTTCCTTGTTGCAACAGACAAGCTTTTTAGAAGTTCCCCTATTATTTGTATTTAATCTAGACTGAAAGTATGCACGGTGTTCTTTTTTCTTTTCTCATCTAAAAGAAAACCTTCTAATTTAACTCGGTTAGCATCAAATATTGTCAAATATTGGCTTTGTAATAAAGGAAAAATGAAAGACACATTTGAAGAAGTCTTAGCTGAATAAAATCGGGAACGGCTACCATTCTGATACACATTAAACATTTTCAAAACTTTTGAAATGTACATTTTAAAAGGATGCTACAAAGAAAATGTAGGCATAATTGCCTTTAATGTTTTCTAGCTGTATTTTTATCAGAATATACTTTAAAACTTCATAAGTGAAACAGTTGGCGAGATTAAAATTATGTGTTTATCTTCAATCAGACAAAAAAAAAACTTCAGGTGGAAAAATGACAAATCAAACCTTTCTTGTAGCATAATCAAGTTCTTGTTAAGCCATAGGTTAAAAATACAATATACACTCAGTTCTCCACATTTGTGGGCTTGATTTTTGCGGATTTGGTTATTATGGATTTAATGAAAATATTCTCTTTAGAAATCCCTAGGTCCTCCAGTGCGACTTTATAGTTAACTTCCTCTCGTCTTAAGCTGAAGGACCTAGAGATTCCTAGGTTTTAAAAAAAGCAATTTTCTCTATTAGTGTGTTTTTCACTTTCACATCACTGAATGTGGAATGCTGACTGTTCTGTTCAAAAGAAGACAGTACATTTCATTATGTGGCCTCTATTTCAGCCTGAAACAGAAATCACATTGTCAGATTTGGGTAAAGGTCTCCCCTGACATTTAGTCTAGTTGTGTCTGACTCATCTCCATTTCTAAGCCGAAGAGCCAACGTTGTCCATAGACACCTCCAAAGCCATGTGGCCAGCATGACTGCATGGAGCACCATTACCTTCTCGCAGAAGCAGTACCTATTGATCTACTCACACTTGCATGTTTTTGAACCTCCAGGTAGGCGGGAGCTCACCCTGCTCCCTGGATTTGGACCACCAACGTTTTGGTCAGGGAATTCAGCAGCTCAACAGTTTAAGCCTCTGCCCCACCAGAGGGCCCTATTGTCAAATTTATTGTCTGATTAGTTATATTGTAGATCTACCTCAGCTTCACAGGAACACTGTCATGTCTCATGCTAACACTATATTGGTGCTGCCCTAGTTTACAAATAATGAAATTGGCAAATTAAAAAAAAGCCAAAGATGAAAAGTTCATGTTACTATGCATATCTAAAAGCTGCTTCTCTTCATGTTTTAAAAAGTAAAATGTATTTTTAAAAAACTATTCCAAAAATACATCTTTCTGTAAATACTCTTAAGGTTTTAGGTATTCCAGCAGAGAACATGTTTTTCCCAGTAGAGATCAGGTGACCATCGTATGTGCCTTAAAAGCCTTCAAGGATTTTCTGCCTCTGCCAAAATATTTTCACCATCTTTGGTTACGCTGCATGTTTAATGAAGGATACTATTTGTTTCTGCATCTCTTTCTCTAGCAATAACATTATAACCATTTTGGTACCTGCAATACTTCAATTTCTAAATTGTAGTAAATCAAACACTGTTAATTTTATATGCCAGCCATGCTTTCTCTCAGGAGGTTAGAGCAGCATAGATGGATTTCTCATCTTGTCTTCCAAACCTTCCTTCTGACCCTTAGTCTTTTCGAG